CTGTCCAGTAGAACTTTCTGCAATGATGTACCATCCTGGGCCAGCTCGTGCGGCCACTGTGTGCTCAAGATGTGTCTGGTCTCACTCGGAACTGAATTCTCTTTATATTACTTTAGATGTCCGTTTAAATAGCCACATGTGACTAGTGGCTACTGTAGCCCAACTAGAGCCTCAGTCTCCTTGACTGTAAAATGGGGCTGATAATAGATGCCAGCCTTCTAGGGTCACCATGAGGATAAAATGAGATAATACAGATTGTCTCACTTTGGGTTTTGGCACGTGATTAAATAGATTTTAGTGATTCTATCCCCTTTGGGGTCCTGGATCCCCTAATGAGGTGGATAAAACCCAGGACCTTACACCACAATTTAGCCATTACATACCCGAACATGCAAACCATACACACGCATTCGCAGATTGCGCACTTGTGCGCACACACACGTGCATAACTTTGCATCCGATTTCAAAAGGCTCCTGCAGCTCAGGAGTCTGTTTGAGGACATCCTCAGAACACGAAAGTTCCTCCCAGCTCTGAAAAGCTCCAAGGCTCTGAGCACACGTTGCTGGTCCACCTCCTCCCCTCCTGCCTCCTGAGGAAACCCTCAGGGCTGAGCAGAGGCAGGGCTTGGAAAAATCCTTGCACGGAGGGCAGGCCCAGGGCAAGGGCGACAGGACAGATTCCGTGAGCTCATCCCAGCAGCCGTCACCAGAGTTCCCAGAGAGGCCGGTGGCGTCAGGAGGGGGTGACTGGGTGGGAGCCGGTGGTGGTGGCTGCGGCGGCAGCAAGGGGTGTGGGGCAAGGAGAGGGAGGCTGGATGGAACGCGCTATAATAGCGGCTTTGTGCTCCGCTTCCCAACTCCTGGGAACGCCAGGAAGATTATGAAACCCGGTGTCTTTGGGAATGCCAGGATATTAGCTGGAAAAAGAATAATACGAAAATAAAATAATGCTCGGGATGGAGACAGCAGACGATTAGCAGACGGAGCCAGGGCCTCCCGCTCCGCAGAGGGAGCCAGGCTTGGCCCCTGCCGAAGGTTTCAGGGAAAGGCTGCCCGTGCTAATGAGCAGACAGGGCCTCCCTTCCAAGCAGACGTCTTCCAGAAGGGGGCTAGCCAGCCAGGCCCAGCCCTCCGGTGGACACACAGGCCAGGGGAGGGGTAGTGGAAGGCCGTGGGCATCACCAGGCCTGTGCTTGGGCCCAGACATCAAGGTACCAGGAAGGCTACCGGCCCCCCTCCCACTGTCCTTCCCTGGCTCCTTCAAAGTCTGCCTCCAGTCTCCTCCACCAAGAAGCCACCCCTCATCAAACAGTCACCCCGGAAGCACGCATCCTCCCTCCAGCTCCTCCCTGGAGCTCACTGTGATCATTTCTTGTCCTAATCACACAGGCCCTCCCCACGGGCCAGACCAGAGGAGTATTAGAATATCATTTCTGTCCCACCAAGGAATAGGGAGAATAGGTCATCTTGTCCTGCCTCCCTATCCAAGATGCTGGCCACATACCTTCAGCCAGGTGTGAACAGGCCCTGCCTCTCTCTGTGAAGTGAGACTCTGGGGACCTGCCTGGATACTGAATCAGAGTCTGCATTTTAACAAGATCCCCTGACTGGCTCCTTTGTTCAAGTCAGAGGAGAACTTCTCTACATGCGTCCCTGTTAACCCTGACCATGACCCTAGGGTGCAGTTCCTTTCATGAGTGAAATAACAGACTCCCTAAACGCATGAGTGACCTGTCCACAGCCTGTGGGCAGAGGAAGCAGAGTCCAGAGCACACCTGCACACTCAGAAGCGCTGCCCATCTCACCAAGCTCTCACCAGCACATCAAGAGACGCTGGAGCTGGGCACAGTGGCACACACCTGTCATCCCAGCAGCTCGGGAGGCTGAGGCAGGAGGATCTTGAGTTCAGAGCCAGCCTCAGCAAAAGTGAGGCTTTGAGCAACTCAGTGAGACCCTGTCACTAAATAAAATACAAAATAGGGCTGGGGATGTGGCTCAGTGGTCAAGTGCCTCTGTGCTCAACCTCCAGTACCCACCCCCACACTCACACACAAAAAATGACATTGGGACTGTGAGCAAGGACCAGCACTCAGGTAAGGCAGCAGGGTCCTGGCACCAGAAAATCTTGGGACCATCTGTCCCAAGATGTGAGATGGGCTTTAGACCCAGTCACTCACTGGGGCATCAGTATGTCCAGAGCAAGGATAGTGGGGCTCAAGGAAAGAGCCCAGACTATCCCTTGTTGTGGCAGGAAGTGTGTAAAGGTGACTGGGAGAGAGGAGTGTGTTCGTGGGGGGAGGGAGGATGTGTGTTGGGGCTGATAGGGGCTCAGCTCACTCGGAGTATGGTCCAGTCAGTTATTGTCAACTGGGCCTGTGTCTCTGTCCAAATGCTGGACCCACCTAGGACTTTCCAAAACTCTGCGGTCTTCCCACTCCAGGTATGTGGGATGCATCCTCCCAAACCACTGGCTCTCTCTGTTCTCTACCGCAGCCCCCGTTCTCCCAGGACTCAGAGGACTTGGCGGCCCCTGGCTTCTTCCGCATATCACAGCCACAGCCAGGTCACATTTGAATTGTAATCCATCACCTCCCCTTTGTCGACTTGACACTTGATTGCAATGATGTCTGGTGACATTTTCTCCCACATAAAGAATAAAAGAGTTGGTTTCTCCGTTTCTGGGAAAGGCTCCCCCATTCTCCCAGTCACTGAGCCACGAAAGCTTGGCAGTGGGTCCCCAGCCTTCCTCACCTTCCTCCTCCAGGTCCCACCAGCCCCAGCACCCATCCACACTCCCATCCATGAGTCCCGGGGCACCTCTGGCCTTGCACCCCGCTCCCTTCCTGGCCCCATCCCCTCCCAGCTGATGCTCAGCCCCCACACTCCCACCTCCCTGCCTCAGGCCACCTGGCAGGCAGCCGCCAGATCTGTATTCACTCAGCACTACACCAGGTGTGTGCGTCAGGCTCCCCGGGGCCAGCCCAGAACTCACTGCAGCCCCAGGCCCACCAGTGGTGCCCCTCCATCTACCCTTTCATTCTTCCCTCCCCTGCCGCTCCATCTCCCTCTGCCCCAGAGGGTCACCTCACCAATGGATTTCTACCCCAAACTCCTGATGACCCCGATGGGCATTCTCCCTCTCCACCCTGACTGGCACTCCCAAAGTTCAGTTCTGACCAGAGCGCGCGGCTGCCCCACCCCCACAGTGGCTCCCCCACAGCCCACTGAGGAGCACTCAGCTGCTGCCATCTGAGCTCTCTGCCCAGCTCTGTTTTCAGAAGCTCCTCTCTCCTGGCAGTGGTACTGTCAATCACAGAGCAGGGCCACGGACCCGGATGGCCAATCAGAACCCTCCATTCCCTCAGGTGCAGGGCCTGACTCAGGTACATGACCAGGTGGAGCCAGTCGCTTGGAGACTTTTATTAGCACTTTTGAGAAAGCAGCCCTCTGGGGTCTCCAGCAGGGAGGTGGGCTGTACTAGCTGATGGAGCAGGGCTTCGTGGGCTGTCACAAGGAGGTCAGCCTTTGGTCACCAGCATCATCTTTGCCACCAGGGAGACAGCCAGTATGAGATGAGGTCAAGGCAGGTGTGAGTCCTGGGGACACCGTGCGAACCTGGATCTCCTGCCACCCTGACGCCCTGCCTACCTCCTGGGTGCTTCCGGGCTAAGAGAGCCCATAAGCCCCCTTGTCTCTTTAGCCCATTGAGTTGAGTCTCCCTTTGATGGAAGCAAGTGCTGGTTACTCAGGTGTCTGCCTGGCCGAACCAGACCCCGCCTGACCGAGACCCAGGCCTTCCTGGAGGTCTTTTCCCACCATGCTCAGTTGGAGTCACGTGACTATCCCAGGCCCTGCCCAGTCCTGGGCCAGGCCCTTTCTGACTCAGGACAAAAGGGGTCACCAGACAGCAGCCCTGCCCCCTCCTACCTTGCTCCTGAGCTGGCCTGAGGACCAGTTCAGCAACCAGAGAGCCCAGGCTCTGCTGTCTCCCCTCAACCTCCCCAAGACTTGGCCCAGGAACTCGAGAGCAGGCTTCCTCCGGATTCTCAGACATTATCTGACCAGTGGAGGGTTTCCGCTCCTCTTCCCATGGCTGGGCCTGGCTCACCATCATGGCCTGAGAGTGGCAGACTTCTGTTCACTCCCTCATGGCCACTGCTGGCTTCGACTCCCATCAGATCCTGGGCCCACCCGCTGCAGCCTCTCAGCCCTGGAGACTAGGCCACACCATGGCTATGTCCTTGGTGTCCATTAGACATACACAGGCACATGTGGCTGGCTTCCCATGGATGGCTTCATGTCCCATCAGCCAGTGCAGCTGTGAGACCTGCTCTCTGGGGTCCCAGCCAGAGCCCCCATGGGGGTCACATGCTCACAGCTCGATTTCAGAGGGGGCACTACAGTCAGGCCTCTTACTTCCACCCCTGGGAATCTGCAGGGCACAAGCTATATATCACTGGCCTGAGGGTCCCCACTCAGATGCTCCAGGATGCGTCTGCTCATCTCTTTGGGGGAGTCCATCACCCAGACTATGGGTAATCTTGAACTGATTCCAGTGCCACTGGTTGCAGAACTGCACTTTACAGGCTCAGGTGCTAAAGTTCATCTCTCCCCATGTACCTGAGAAGCCTGTGAGCATAATCCCTGCCTCAGGACAACCAAGGGCATCCCAGGGTCATCCGACATCTCTAGCTACTACAGTGCCTTGGGCCTCCCACCTCCATGCCAACCAGCCACTTTAAGAAGATCAAGGTCCCTTGGCTCCAGTCCTGGCGATCAGGTGATCAGAAGCGAAGGCCCCTCCCTCTCAACTACTTACTACTCAAAGAAGGAGAAAGAGACTATTTTATTTTAGGACAACCCCCAGACAGGATGACTGGCCAATGTCACATCCAAAAAAACAAAAAACTAACCTGGGGGCTCCCATGCCCCTCCCCCATCAGCCCCTGGAAAGCCCTGGGAAAGCAAGCCAGACCCCAGACAGGTGCAGCCCCACCTACCAGAGCCCCCTCGAGGGCAAACACAGCTGCTGGCCCCGTCTTCTCCAGTGGCTCCATGCGGCGGCGCCAGCGACGGCGGCGAAAAGCATCCGTCTTGCGATATTCGAGGTGGAACTTCCAGCCAAAGAGAGAGGCATACTCCCAGCCCTCGCCCTCCGCCTCCGCCTGCCTGTGCTGCACGGGAGAACAGGGCGGCTTAGAGGCCAGTTGCTAGGCCTGTGGGGCGTCCAGGACCCAGCTGTGCCTCCCCACAGACTCCCACAGCAGTGCAGACCAGGTAGGAAAACCTGGGAGGGCTGCCTGGAGGAGGGGGGCTTTGAGAAGCATCTGGAGCAACAAGACCTCTAGGTGAAAACATCAGGAGGGGAGAGGAGGCTCCGTGGCTGCAAGGAGAGCCCGCAGGAGGGGAAGGTGATGCAGCAGTGGTGGAAACCCTGGCTCTGGGGATGCTCGCTGATTTGAATTAGGGGAGGGTTGCATAAATCCAGGGGTTTCTTGTCATTTCCTTTTTCTTCTTCATATTCCCAGCTTATAAAAATAGAAGTGGGCCTGTAGTTCAGAGGCAAAACAAAGATCCTGTTTCCCCAGGAGGTGGGATCCAGGCGAGCTGCGGAGACCCCCTGCACTTGTTCCAAGAGGCCCCTCTCCCAGCCCCAGAGGAAATCTGGAAGCCTCTCGCCCCAGCTCCTGGGAGAAAGTAGCCTGAGGCTATCTAGAGCCACAAGCAGTGACAAAGGCCAGTCCTGGAGGTCAGCTGCCTCCCCTCCAGGAAGAAGGGAAGGCTAAGGGGTCTGGCCAGGCCCCACCTCTGACAACCAGCCCGTCAGGGAGAGCACTGTGTGCCTGGCTCACAGCAGCAGCAACAGCTAATTTCCCAAATGCTTCTTCTCCCCAGACCCAGAGACATTCCTCTTTAGATTCTAGGCTCAAAAGAGAGGAAGGAACCTGGGTCATGCCAAAGGCTACATACACTTAGACTGGTGGAAGCCTGGGTTCTTGGGCCAAAATTCAAAAGCGCACTTGGGAAGGAAGGAGGGAGACCAGGAGGGTCCAGGGGAGGCAGGCACTGAGGCCATGCGGAACTTGGGCATCTGTGTGACTCTGGAGCAAGGGCATGTGTCATGTGTGCTCATACGTGTGCACTCTGGCCCTGTCTGTGTCCTGTGGGATGGGGTCCCGTCCTTGGGTACATGCTGACGGAGCCCATCCTTATCCCTTCACCATGCTCGCACCCTGCAATCAAGTCAGGTGGTTCCAAGTTCCCTGCAGCTGCCTGCTTAGAGCCTGCTAAGAGCCACCATGCTGGGGAGGTCTGTATCCCAGCATGCCCCAGCAGCCTTCAGCCAATGACAGACAGCTAGGAAGATGCCAATCCAGCCCCCTTGCCTGCCAGGTGAGGAGGATTCTGTGGTCCAACGTGGGCCCCTCCCCAAGGCACATCCTTTCCCCTCTCCCTCCTGAGAACACAGTCTTTAGGGACTGGAGCCAAAGCCATGTCATGGATTCTGCTTTTAGGAAGCTGTGCCTACTCCTGGGGTCGCTCTGCACCTGCTGGGGCTGCAGGGGAACCCTGTATGTGAACCCCTGGGGTAGGCTTGCTACGTGGATATGCTGTGTCTGTGGGATCTGCATACCTAGGTACTAGGAGTCATCTGTACATGTGCTGGATGTGATCACTGCATGTGTTGGGTGTGATCTGTGAGCAGCTGCAATGAGTCCCAAGTGCCGACGCATGTCACATGCACACCTGCATGTATCTGTGTGCACACAGGTGTCTGCACCTGTACCCCAACCTCCTGCAACCAGGAGTGCCTCTCCCAGTCCTCACCCCCCTACCAGCTCACCCTGTTCAGTGCTTCCATCTGGCTGAGGTCCCTCCTGCGCAGGCGGACCCAGCGCCGCCGTCGGTGTGTGTAGTACATCTTCTCTGCAGGGACCCAGTGCCTCGGCTTTCGGTCCGGAGGGATAGTGATGCTGTACTCCCAGCCTGGAGGAGGACACCAGTCACCCATTGCCCAATAATTCTCCATCTCTCCTGAGGCCATCTCTTCAACTGGGGCATGCTCACAGACTCAAGCAGCCAGTGACTCTTGGCCCTAATTTGTCACTTGAAGAGGAGATATACTACAGTGAAAGCCAGTGCCTCAGGCCAAGGGGCTCTGGCACTCAGTGGTCCTCACCAGCACACCTTGAGCTCACCAGGATGTGGGGGGCTCACCAGGCTGCACAGGTGGCCTACCTTGTTCATCGACAGCCCGGTTGAGGTCCGTGGACCATTCCTCATCTTCCCACTTCCACCCCAGTGGGCACTCAATGTCATCCTTCGGAAGCACCTTCTCTCCATTCTAGGGACAAATCAGGAAAGGCAAGTGTGAGAAAATCAGACAGTCTTCAGCAGGGGCCCAGAAAAGAAGCCCCAGACAGAATGGCAGAGCCCCCGAGACCCATGTGACTCAGGACTCCTATTCTTCTAGAACCCAGAACATGGAGACTCAGCAGGTGCAAGCAGGACAGAAGATGTCCCAGCCTTCTCTGAGCCATAGACCCCTCCTGGGGCTCAGGGGACGGGTGGGGCAGCTTTCCCTAGAGTCCTGGACGGTTGGTCCACCTCCTTACCACATCAGTGTAGTTGTCACTCATGTAGATCCACTGGCCCCCGGGGAGCCGGGTCTGGTTCTCAAACACCTCCTCCACGAAGCTCAGGTGACCAGCATCAGCATCATGGAGCAAGCTATGGGGGAGGCCAGTCAGAGCCGCTGCTGAAGAGGCCCCCATCCGCCCATCACCTCCAGGAGAGCACCCTGCCTTGGCCAACCTGCACATCAGCTTCACTCCAAGACAGACAGAGGGGAGGATGCAAGAGACCAGAGAAAAAGGAGACCCAGGGGCACCTCGTTCATGGCGAAAAGAATATATCACCCAAGATGAAGAAAGAGAGAGGGGGGCCAGTCAAAGGCACCAAAAGCTAGGTGGGTAGTTGAAGCACAACAGATAGTCCTAGAAATGTAAGGTGTTATCTAACTGCACACTTGGTCCGAGTGCTTGACTTTAGATTATATGTTATAATTTAATTTTTTTTTTAAATTCCCAAACATCAACCCAACGGGAAGAGAGACAGGGGAAGAGGCAGAGATGGCAACGTGGATGGAGAAAGATGATGTCAATCTGGGAGGGACCCCTGGGGGAACATGTGAGCTGCCTGCAACCCAAGAATTATTACACGAGGAGCAGAAAGAGCTTGTCCATGGTGTCATGGAGCACAAGGCCAAGTCAAATGGGGGCTTCGTAATAAAGGGCCTTCTCGGTATTAGAGAGCTTCCAGAAGGAACACTGCATAGTGAGCCCAAGTCCTGGGACAGCCACAGTTCTAGTGACCAGCGTAGCAGGAGGCAGAGGAGTTGACAGAGCTGGGGACTCTGAAAGAAAGTTGCTGGGGCAGAGGGGACGTGGCTGGCGGGCAGCCAACCCTCACAAGACTACCCTGCCCACAACTCACGTCTTTTCTGGACACACGAACCAATCTCCAGCCCAGGCCCAGCCAGCAGAGGGGCGGAAGCTGTCTTTGGGTAACTTGATCTTGCCCCTGACGTCAGAAAACTTGGGGTAGGTAAGGCCCGTGGTGCCCCAGTTCCCAACCAGGGCCAGCTTGGTCTGGTTCTCATACTGGAGGGAGAAAGAGAAGTACTTTGGGCTGCGGCAGGTCCCGCAGGTTCAGGGGGAGGCAGGGGCCAGGTGGTGGGCACTCACAGTTTCGGCAAAGACAGACAGCTTGCCCTCGGCAAACTGGTTGAACTCCTTCTCATCCACAGAAAGCCCAAACCAGAGCTTGACTCGTATCTGCACAGGCATCCGGGCCCCAGGTACCTTCTCCATTGGATACTAGGCAACAGAGAAGGATAGAAACTCACATTCCCTTTCAGGATCAGGATGTCCCAACTGGGGTGGGGACTGGGGTCCTCCAGGTTTGGACATACCAGCTCAATAGCCCCTCAATGTTGACCAACGCCTGATGGACAACTTAGAATTTCAGGGAACTGGAATGTAGAAGAACTCTCTCCCCTGCCAAAATTCCTTCTCATCAAAGAAGACTACATTGTCCCCACCCAGGAGCTTTCTGCAAAGAGGGACCATGTCTACGTCAGGGTCCTTCATCTTCCCCTTCTCTCACAATTCCATTCTCCTCAATCCCATTGTCTTCAGAATAGCACTGTCTTATGGAATCTTCTGCTACAGTGGAAAATAGTTTCTATCTGCACTGTCCAATATGGTAGCCACAAGTCCCATGTGGCTAATGAGCACTTGAACTGTGGCTGGTGTGACTGAGGGATTGAATTATTTGATTTAATTAATTTAAATTTAAAGAGCCATATGTGGCTACCCTCTGAGACAGAAGAACCATTCTAGAATTTGTCTTTAAAGGAAACACAACGACACAGGCCTGGAAGAGGAAGAAATTAAGGCCATTTCATTTCGTTCTCAGTATTTCATATTTTAGCCAGACGTTAGTGTACCATCTAATATCCCTACATTTTCAAGTGCTTATCAGCATGTTAACCACTATTTACTGGTCTTCAAGTGCTTTTAATCCTGAAACCTTCAGACACTCTGCCAAAATTGAATAACCGCAATAACCCAACCTAAAAAAAAATAAACATTTTCTATGATCACTTCACCATTTGACTAAAGCCCAAAGTGAGATATGGGGGTGAGAAACAGAAGTCTCTCACTCTTAGAATAAATAACACACGGTCCCCATACAGGAGGTGACACATGAAGTACCTAGGCCCCATGTGCATGAGCTCAGAAGAGTATGTCCTCTAGGACAGGGAGTCAAGAGAGAGGAACAGGAAGCTCTGGGGGTTCAGACGAAGAGTGGGAAGCCAAGGCCAAGGTCCCAGGCTGGTGGGGAGGGCTGGACCCCTAGCGGGAGTCAGTACAGGAAGGAGGCACAGGAAGTGGTGCTGGCCAGGCCTGGGCAGTGACCATCTCACACTTCCCAGACCCTCTGCTTCTGTTCACCCTGGTGAAGCCTGAAGGAGCCCCTGATCCCACGTGTCACCCCCTGGAAACCTCCCCACAGCTGATGGCTTCAGCTGTCCTGTCCCGGAGGGTGGTTAGCTGCCTTTTCCCCTCCAAACCACCAGCCCCAGGGAGATGGCAGGAATGCCTGGCCCCCCTCCCCCACCTACCCCCAGCTCTCTCCCTTGCCCTCCCCCAGACAGGGCCAGCCTGCCCGACCCAAAATAGCAACAGCAAATAAAGAAATGTCTAGTTTGGGGCTCCTCTCCCTCTCTGCTGGTGCTCATTTTTTCCAACTTTGGTTTAAGTTAAGAAACACCAATGTTTTCTTGGTCTCTGCTGGCTGCCAACATTTTTGTAGAGCTTGCTCAGGAGCTACTGGCGGGGCTCATAAACTCAGTGGGGAAGACTTCGAGAAACAATTCTGTATCTTTTTTTTTTTTTTTCCTTGCTTAGAATCAGGGAAAATTTTCAGTTTGCATTTGGCTGTGGCTACAGGGCCAAGAGGTCAGAGCCAGAACTCAATCTGTCCCAGGGAGGCCCCCAGGTGTGCCTCTGTGTCCACACCTCGACTCTCAGCACACAGCCTTCCCTGGCCAGCCCCCCAAATGGGGTCACTCCTCCATTTCCTCTCCTTTCTGCCCCATGAGCAGAGAACTGGCTTAGGAGGGAGATTCTTGGTCAGACCTAGAGGTTAGGATCACACAAGGACATGCCCCAGGTAACATATGAGCAGACTGTGGGGCAATCCCCTGCCACACACACACACACACACACACACACACACACACACTTGGCAAAGCTGGCTTCTCCTCTGAAGTACCAATGACCCTACGTGCAGATACGCCCATCCCTGCCCATGGGTTGGCCTCTAATCCAGGTACCTGTGGAGCATGGGATCTCTACCACAGGAAAAGGGAAGAAGAGGGCAGACACTAATATCCATTGATCACCTAGGTGCAGCAAGGTCCATTACCTGGGTTATCTAATTCAGTCCTCAAAACCTATGAAGTTGATAGCCTTATTCTCATTATATAGGTGAGAAGAAAATGGGCAGTTCAGAGAGGTTAGGCAACCTGCCCAAGGCCACACAGAGTACTAGTCAGACCTAGAAATAAGTGTACACGCTGCCCAGCTAAAGCCTATCATCTCCACCCACATAGGGAGCAATAAGAATGGCTGGCCAGTATATGAAGGGGTCAAGAGCACAGACGGCTCTACTCAGAGGGTTCAAGGCTAAGGTTGATCAACAATGACTTACTGAAAGAGATGAGGTGGGAGGAGAGACGTGGGGAAGCAAAGGGGCTTTGGGAAGTTGGACCAGGCTGGGGTAAAGGAGGCAGCTGAGGCTGAGTAGGCCCTGACTGCAGAGGGAACAGGAAGTGGTAGAGTAGGCCTGCTTCCTGGCCATTCAGCCTCTAGCAGGGCAGCCTGAATGGCAGCTTCACAGAGGGACCTTCCCCTTGGGCCTGCAGGGCCACAGCCCAGGGGGGAATTGCCACTGTGTTCTGACTCAGAGGCCAAAAGACCTCTCCACAGTCCCCTGACCAAAGCAGCCTTGGCCCTGGGTCCCCACATTAACCCAGGAGGGTAGGTGGCCCCTCCCCAAACACTCGCTCACCTCCCTATCACCAAGGCTGGTGGGTCCCCAAGAGAAGATGTGGAGGGAGCAGGCTGGGGTGCTGGAAGAGGAGGAAAGGAAGGAGAGGGCACGCTGGGTGAGACTGAGGGCAGGAGTCTTTGCTCCCTCTGAGGGTTCTGAGTCACAGGCACAACCCAAGCCCCAGACACCAGCCTTCCCAGCAGTGAAGAACTTGAACCCCAGTATGGCTCCCGCTGGAGTAGGGGGGTGGCATCATGCAGGGTGTGCAGCCAGGTCTGTGCCAGGATGTGGACGGCTGGTGGCCAGGCCCTCTCTACAAGGGACATGCCCTACAGGGCAAAAACGGCCTCAGAGATCTGCAACCCGCCCTCACAGCCTGGGACCACAGACTCCTCTTCATTCATTCCCAGGGTCCCATGATTCCAGCTCCAACGTTCGCACCTTCTAGACCATAAGCACGGATTCTGGGGACTTTGTGAGGGACAGAGGAAAAACAAAAGTCATTTTGACCAAAGCGCCTTCTCTTCCAGGACCAGAACCCCAGGTCCAGGAACAGGAAAGGGATGAAGTAGGAGGAAAGCTTTGAACTGAGAAGTGCAATCATGACCTGGAGAGAGGAAAACTCACTTTCAGAAAAATGGTCTGCAGCTTCCCACAATTCTTGCCACAGTAGCTGGCCCCGCGCCGGGAGAAGAGGACTTCGTGGGCCGGCACCCGCTGGTAGGCTACACGCTTGTCTCCCTGCAGCATCCAGATGATGACGTCCGGCAAGCTGTTCTGGGGCTGGAGAAAAGGTGGCCATCAGGGTGGCTGGCCACAGTGACCAGTGACATGCCCAAGCCCACACTTCACAGTGGCACAGCACTGTGAGCTGACCTCTGACCCAGAGGCCAAAAGACCTCTCCTCAGCAGCCTCCATCCACACACCACCCACTCCTGGACTTCCCCTTGACCTCCAGGGCGGGCTGAGTCTCCAGCGGCTCGCATCCCCCAGAGGACAGGGCATGAGGCTGCCCCCAGCTCACACCGGAAGCAGAACACAGGTTTCCAGGAAGAGTCACTCCTGCCTGGAGCCAGAGCTTCAGTTCTTATGTCCCATCTACTGGGCAGATGTTCTTGGGGATGAGTATTACACTTAAGGGACCAGACTCCCCTTCCTCAATCCAGAGGGCAACAGCAAATCCAGAGAAGGTGCACATCTTCCCAGAGGGCACTCCTCCCTCTAACAGGGGACCTTTGAGGCCTGGTCTGGAACAGAAGGACTAACTTGGAACAGAAGGGTCAGGCTCTGAGCCCTGGAGGCTTCTAGCCATGAGGGACAACTGCCCGTTGCACACTCTGGAGAAAGCACTGGTTGGGAAAGGGTCCATCTGCTTCCAAGGATGGTGAGCCACGGGGCTGGCTCTCTACCCAGGTCTGTTGCTGAAAGTCCATGCTCCTGGGGCACTCACTAACCTGTCACATGCACTGTTTCACTTAATCCCTGCAACAGCCCAGGAGGCAGGAAGGGCTTCCCCATTTGACAGGTAAGGAAATTCGGGCTTAGAGAGGTTAGGAGACAACTCAGGTTTTTCTGCCTCCAGATATGTGTTCCCAACCACCATGCCAGGGGTTCAAAGTGTGTCCCCCAGGCGCAGCAGGAGTTCCCAGGATCTTGTTAGAAACACAAATTCTCAGGCTCCATCCCAGACCTGGGGTGAAGGGGTCAGGAACTCTAGAGCTTCTGATGCATACACAAGTCTGAGCAGAGCTCTCCCTCCAGCTCCCTTACAGTAAGAGCTCCCATTTGACCTTAATCCTCCCTGCTATATTCTAATCTGTGCTCTGTTCAGCATCAGCCTAGGGCAAGATTATAGATGCAGCCAGAGACCAAACCTCAGGATGGTCCCCACCACTGTGAGAGGCTGGTCAATGGCTGAGACACACAGCATGTCCCCAAGGAACTGGCCACGTGTCGGCAGGCCACCCAGGGAGGCATCCAGGGCCCAGCACCCCTTCCTAAACAGCCTTCCCCACTTCCCCTTGACAACCTGCTGCTCCAGAAGGCCCTCTGGCAGCCTGCTCTTCTGGAGGCATCCCTTCTCACCACCTCCATCTCCTACCTGGGGATCCCACATGGCTCTGGTCAGAGTGGGCAGCAGCTGTGTCTGCCCATGACCTGTAAGCAGATCCTTCTCATTCTCAACAAACCCCTCCCTGGCTTGCCTGCTTGCCCAGGAACTCAGTTGATAACATCTGGCCTCACAGACCAGGGGAAGGGTATGCATGTGGGGAAAGGGTGCCCCAAAGATAAACTGGAGCCAATTCTAAGATACAACAAAGTTCAGAGTTACAGCAATCCATCCTCCCCAGGCCTGGGGCTCAAAGGCATCTAGGAGAGCAGGAAACACTGGGCCTGTTAGAGGCAGGTTGGAAACCAGGTACAGACAGGTACTGGTTGGCAGGAAGAAGTCAGGTCCCTGGGGAAGCAGGGACCTAGAGCCAGACACCCTGAATTCTGGTTCTAGCACTGTCTCTACCATCCTTTAGTGGGTTGGGGGCATTTATTGACTACCTACTATATACCTGGCTCTGTGCTGTGCCCCATAACACCCAGAATCCTGTTGTATCCTCTCTTCTTCTTCTGCAAATGCCTATATTGAGTCTCAAAGAGATTGGGTCCTCTGCCTAAGGTCTCCCCCCAGCAGTGGAGCCAAGGTTGGATCATGCTTCAGACAGTGCCCACCCCCCACACCCAGTTCCAATGTTCCAGGCAACAGGACAGCAAAGGAAAGCAGCACCCTGCAGGGTTAACTACCTCCTCTGCCAGGACACGAAGACGCAGGAGCCAGTCCTCAGCCTGCTCCAGGGCAGCAGAGAGCTCAATTTGCCCAAGCTTCAGGGCCAGTGCAGCCTCAGTGATTTGGCTCAGGTGGCGGGTACGCAGTCGGAACAGGTACTGGTCCAGGTGGGTGGCAGAAGGTATCTCATGGACATCACTCAGGGGCTGGCTGTGAGAGACAGAAGGCCAAAGCTGCCCCAAGTCCAAGCACACATATGTGTGTACACACAAGTACACACGTGCACAGCCCCACAAGAGAAGGCCTGTCTGCACAGCGCCTTCTCCAGCCTCATCCACATGAACGGCTCCCTCTGTGACCCTCAGCTCCTCCAGGAAGCTTCCCCAACCTTGTCTGCCCTCCTACTTCCCATTCCGAAGCCTAAAGCCCTTAATTCTGGGGCCACCTGTTTGGGGCTCACCCTCAACCCCTTGTCTGATGAGTGCTTTTGCCTGTCCCCTCGCCACAGGTGACTGCAAGCTCTCAGAGGACCAGAGAGTCTGCATCCTGTCCCTGCATCCTCCTAGGCAGAGGCCCCAACACTAAGTTGCCCTACACTGAAACAAATCGTTTCTGCATTGTGCACACACTTTCTCCAAGAAAGAAATTTATGAACCCCTGACAAGCCACTGCAGACACCGTGGGGAGGCCCGCCACCAATAATACAGATGTGTCCACCCGGGGCGGCCCACAACACCCCTCCCAGACGCTCTGCCTAGGGAAGCTTTAGGAGACATGGTGGGGCTACATGCAGCCCTCAAAACACAGCCCTGAGCCCCAAGTGTGGAGTTAGGTTTAAACTCAACCTTGCTTGGAAGCAAAGAACTCTGACATGCGCACGCATACATACACCCACTTCCCGCAGGGGCTCCCTAAAAGTCCTTCCTAGGGCTGCTCCACACCACTCCCAAGTCTCAGGTCCCTCCACCAGCAAGGGTCACGCAGGATCGGATCGAGTGGTGGCTGGTGGCGTCTGTGCGCTCTTACACCAAGGAGACCCCCTCCTGCCAGTCCCTGCTGGAGCATGGGGGTGCCCCGCCCCCACCCCACCCCCGGGCGAGCCCTTGACTCCCCAACAGGACATTAGTCAAAGCCGCCAGGTCTGCTCCCACCGCTCGCTTGCAGCGCCCCCTCCTACTCCCCTCCCCGCAGCGTCTCGACTCCCGGCTCCCGGCTGATTTATTTTTCTGCCAATTTCCCCGAGCTATGCAGAACCAATTACCGCCGGAGCGCAGCGGCACCGCCGCCGCCAGATCCACCACTCTGGCAGCCCTCGGCGCACTACATTTTTCCTGTTATTTTTTTTAATTGAATTTTTAGGGTGGGGGGGAGCAGGAGGCGAACTCCTTCTCGGGGAAACTTAAGCCCCGGGGCCTGTCTCAGGTCACGTACTGCACACCCTGTAGTAATATAATATTTACTGCCCCGAGGGTGCCGCGGACGGGGCTGCCCGGGCCGGCTGGCCGGGTGAGGCCCCGGAGCGGGGCTGGGGGCGGCGGGCGACAGGGTAGGAGAGCCGCAAGCCAACCGGGGTGATTTATGCGCCCAGCCTGGGTCGGAAGCTGGGAGGGACTGTGCTACAGACCACCAGAGGGAGATTTTCATGGAAGCCCCAGCCTGGCCAAGATCCGCGAGAAGCAGGCGGGACCCGTGAGCGCCACTAACAAGATGCTCCCATCCTGGGAAAGCCCAAGGCAGGGGGTACAGAAAGAAGGGGAGACAGGCAAGACGAGGCAATGGGATGCTGCACCCCAGCCTTAAAACAATGGCAGACGCCCTGCTACCTCTGGCTGACTTGGAAATCAACATCTAGTGGCCCTGAGCGCAAGGACCTGCTAGGAGGAGACCAGAGCTGGCTGCTCACAAGTTGCTGGCTGCCTGCCCCTGCAGGACCAAGTGGGTGACTGTAGGGGAACAGCCACCAGGAAGGGAGTGTGCAGCCTGAGAGATGAACTGGCTTGGGGTCGTTCCTTTCACTCAGCAATGGTGCTGCTGGGCCTCAGCTGAGCTGAAGACTACCCAAAGAGGAGATCCCGCCCTGCTCTCTCTCTAGGGGAGAAACCTGAGAGGGGTCTCAAGTCCCACAGAGCAGCCTATAGAGTCAGGAGTCCCTCCTGGAAGAAGTGGTTCCCACCTGCACCTTGGAGGGCCACAGGAGCTAGTCAGGCCCAGCTGAGTGGGAAGAGCTTTGGACACAGAGGCAAGGAGAACATGTATGGTTGGGGAGGGGGTGCACAGAGATGCAAAAGGATGGGGATCCATGAGGCAGATGGTGGGGACAGAGAGGGGCGCTCACTAGGATGAGGGCTGAGACTTTCTCCGAAGTGTAGTAGGAGCCACTTCGGGGCTGCAGAGGAGGTGGGCATGGCACCATCCTGAAGACAATAAGTGAGGAGGCTGGAGGGGAAGAAAAGAAGGAGGAGGTGGAGAGGCAGAGTGATGACTAGTGGGGGGAGAGAGGAAGGGGGACACTCAGAGCTGGCCCAAGTACCCAGCATGGTTTCTGGGAATGATGAATCCAGAAGAAGACACAAGGGGTGGGGTGATAAAGTGTGCCCAGGGCCTGTACAGCCACAGACACAGCATAGCTGTTGGGGCCATGGGTCTAGAGGTCAGAGGAAAAGGCTGGCCAGAAAGAACAAAGTGGACACCGTTAGCCCAGAGAGACAGCTGGCTGGGCCTGAGCTGGAACAAGGGGCACTGATGCTGGAGATGTGGGCAGGGCCGCTGAGAGACTCGGCGAGCAGCTGTGGTCAGCCCTGGCACCCTGGCTTGGGCACGAGGTAGCTGGATACCTTGCTTGTCAGCTGGGTCTGTGCCCAGTGGCAGAGCAGGAGGAAGGCCTCTCACTGAGGCCCCGGGGCTGCTCTGTAACATCAGGGGATGCCGGAAGGAATCAGTCCTGATGCCTGGAATTCCTCCTCTGGAGACCCACTTGTGTGCATTCCCAGGAGGGTGGGAACCCAGCTCCCCTCCCAAGCTCCTGAGCTGGCACCAATATCCCTGGAAGGACCTGGCCACCCTGCTACCCCCAGGGTAGAAACTCCAAGGGCCAGATACGGCAGAAGTGTTTTTAGCCAAATCCTCCAAAGAGCAGAGTTCAGAGGAGGGCACTTAAGGCAGTCCAGGAGCTGGGTCTCAAATGTTCCAGGCACCGTAGACCTGCCAAGGTCTGCCCCTCCTGAGTCAGGAGAAGCACTACAGGGAAAACTCTAGCCCTGCCCCCCAGCCCCCAGGCTGTGCAATGGGGCACATTCTGCAGGTGTGGGCTGGTGGGATACAGGGACCGCCTGTGAGCCCACCCCACAGCTGCAGCCCACCCCTGTGCTGACCATGCCTTGCATGCCCTGCCAGCTCATCTCATCTTCCTCCTCCCAGACCCCAAGCCAGGTTCCTCACAGATGTCCCCTGCACACGGCCTGTCCTGATACCTCATCGCCCCTCTGCCTGCTTCTCTTCCTGCTGACTTCCTCAGAGAATGGCCCCAACACCCACACAGCTGCCCTGACCAGAGCAGGGGTCCTTTCTGGACCCTTCTTTGGCCTCCATATCCAATCCACTGTCAAATTCTGTCCATGATAGGACAGCACATCAAGGGGCTCCCCCGCATTCGTGACATGTGAATCTGGGCAGGTTAATCAACCTCCCCGTGACTCAGTTTCCTCATGGGTAAGATGGGGATCGTTTTGCTTCCTACTGTGATGATTAATACATGTGCAATTCCTTAGAATAGTGCCTGGCACGACACGAGGCTGTCATCACAGTGCCTCCTAGAGTGTCCACGCTGCCCTCTGCTTCCCTCAGGCCCTACCTATCCCAGCCTAGGACCTCAGTGGCCTTGTCACAACTCACCCACACAGCCTTATGTCCACTCTCCCTTCACTTGGTCCCCCAGCACCCACTTGTCACCACCACCACCACTCCATCCTCATCCTGAACGAACAGCCGAATCCCAGCACTTATCACCAGCCACCTGAGCTCCAGCAGGCCCCTAAGGCCCACCCCGTGGGGCATCAGCTTCTCCCTCACGCCCCTGGAGGCAGCCTGGTTCCAGCTTCTGAAGTTCAGGCTTCTGAGTCTCTGCTTGGGCAGTCCCTCTCCTCCCCCTCTAGGTTCACACGGGCCAGCCCTGCTCTGGGAAGCTTCCCTGAACGGGATCTGTTGGAATTAGATGCACCTGCTCGGAGCTGCCACAGCGCGGGCTCTCCCTCCCCGGCACGCTCACTTCATGTTTCATTTTTGCATCCATCACCCCCCGGAGGGCTGACATTGCGCCTTGTCAATGTGCCTGGCACTCAGCCTGCCAGGCTTCCAGAAGTTTCGGAGAATGGATGAATGACCTGTCTGGAATTCCACCCGCCCGCATGAGGGGGAGTGTCTTTAGGGTAACACTTTGATAAAGATACACTTCCTAACCGGGGTATAAAGGACCAGAAGGGGCGCTGTGGCAGGCGGCACGGTTGCCAGGGTCCCCGCACAGGAGCCGTTCTCTAATACATTCAACAGGACTCTACAGCCAGGTCGGGGAGGGTGATGAGTGAGGCCCAGAGGGGGAGGGGCACAGGTGACATTTGCACATACTCACACTTAACCCCACAGAAAGGAGAAGGGCAACTGCTTATTAAGTCCATTTAACAGCTGAGAAACTGAGGTCCGGAGAAGTGGCGCTACCTAAAGTCACAAAGCTAGTTAAAGGGGCCAGGGCCTAAGTCTCCAGCCATCTCTTCTTCTTAACAATAATGACAGCTACCATGATTAAGTTCTTCCTAACTTCCTGGCACTTTGTAGATATTATAAAGTTATTATAAAGTTGGTTATTCTTCATGGTAAGTTGAAGTTCAAAGCTCCCTTTGGAGTGGCTCCCCTAAACCCAGCCAGCAGTGGAAAAGATGCTGGGATGTGTCCCCTCTGCTGGGCCTCGGCACCTCTGTTCTCCATCACTCCCAAGACCCCCTCTTCCTGAAGTTGACAATCAGTCGTGTCAATAGAAGGCTAAACAGAAACTGTGGTCCCGACATGGCCTTGGGGGAAGGAGGGGCGCCGTCCCCCCCACCCCCACCCCCGCCACTCCCCGCCCCCACCCTCCACCAGCTTCTCCTGGAGATTCCATCAGGGAAATAAGAGGTCGGGGATCAGAGACACAATGCTCCCCATTCAGGTGAGCAGGGCCGCCCCCGCCCACAGCTGCCGCTGCTGCCGGGAGATTTATGACCTGCTCTAAATGTCACCTTTTCAACTCCCCGCACTGACTCTACCACCTTTGGACTCAGCACGGGCCGGACTGCTGGCCAAGCGTGGCTGGGAGACGTGCGGCCACTCACTGCCACACACGAACACTCCCAGGGAACTGGCCCTGCCGAGCCAGGGGAGGCAGGCGCCATGGGCATCAGGTACCCCCTACCTGCAGTCTGCGATGAGCTCATCCATCAGCTGAGTCACCAGGGAGTCCATGTCCTCAGTGGAACACTGGGCCTTCAGGGCCAGGTGGACCTGCTCCAGGCCAGCTTCCTGTGGAACAGGCAGGCAAGGGTCAGGAGTGTCACCATGGAACAGAAAGTACATACTGGACCCAACCCCCAGGCCCTGAACCAAAAAGGATTAAACAGAGAAAGCAGAGCCCAGACCCAACCAACCAGCACTGGCCTGGCCCAAGAACCTTCCAGGATTCTCCACAATTCCCAAGGTGGAAACTTCAGCCTCACACAGACACGAGAAGCTCACGTGCTCTCAGGGGCCGTCAATGGATATGAATGCAGCCTCTCCTCACCCAGCACCTTCAAGCCAGGTCTGACTTCCCATGGTCCTCTCTGAGCCTGGAACCTCTTTCCTTTGAAGATTCTACTACTGACTCTCAGGAGCAGTTCAGCTACCTCCAATCACGGGGAGGCCTTCTCCAAACCCCCATGGCCTGGATTTTGGCTGAACTGCATCTGGCCCCCTCCTGGCACTCTTCCCCAGACCTCTCCATGGGTTCAGCCCCAAGCCAAGAGGTGAAGATTGTTCTTGGAATACGTTGTCAGGCCCAGGTCTGTCCCTCAGTCCACCATACATCCCTCCCCATCCATCAGCCTTCTTGACGTGTCCTTTGGCCCAGCACCACCAGCCTAAGGATGGACACAGTCCCTGCTCTCTTGAAGTCTGCAGACAATGACAAATCAAAACAGTTGGCTCTTGTTCCGTGTCAACTCTGAATTCTCCTCCTCTTGGTCTTTGCTGGTCTTCCTTCCCCCTAGAACCGCCAGTCTCAAGGAAGTGATAGGCACTATGGCGGCTCACCTTGGCCTGCACTCCTTCCAGCCCCTCTTTCCACCTGTGCTCATCCACAGATATGCCCAGGCCTCTCCAATCCCCTTCTCCCCTCCCTTGGCCTCTGTGCTCTTATGATTGACTCTCCTCAACTCCTGGCTGAGCACCAGGCCCACAGCCCCCAGCACATGCAGACAGCCTCCCTCCTCACCTCCAGAACAGAACCTGCCACCCACCCCTGTACGCTGCTCTTCTCCCTGCTTCCCAGTTCCCCAGCCACCAGAGTCACTGCTTGGTGTTTCATCTCCCCAAATCCAAGAAGCCACCAAGGCCTTGTAGCCCAGGTCCTGCAATTGCCCCTCGAAGGTCGTCTCCTTCCCATGGCCTCATCATCCTCCTAGGGCCCCAGCAGAGCTCCACTTCCCTTGTCCCCCCACTGGACAGGGGCCCCTCGAGTGCCTGCGACACCTCCCAGTGCTCCCTGGCGGCTCTCCTCTGAGCCCCAAGCCTCTCCCTCTGCCACCCTGAAGCTTCAGGGTGAGAGGCTCGTGGGGCCCTCACCCTCCTTTACCACACCAACCTCCTGAGGATGGGGCAGCTCCCTGTTCACTTTGAGTTTCTGGCTTCTAGCAAGAAGTTTCTAGCACCAGCTCTTGTGTGTGCTGAGTCAAAAGGCATCCAACGTGGACCAGTGCTGAGCTCTGTCCTTCTCAGCCCTTTCCTGTCTGTCTGTCTGTCTGTCTCTCCCCCTCCCTCTCTCTTTCTCTGTTTCCTCCCACATCAGACTGGTGCTTCCCAGGACTGTTGTGACCTCCTCTTCTCAGCATGTAGGACAGGACCACAAGCCTAACTTTGCAGGACACAGAGAGGACCAAAGGCCCTAAAATTCACTAGGCATAGTAGTGTGTGTGTGTGTGTGTGCGCGCGCGCATGCACACACGCACGCACACATACGCAGACACACTGCCAGTGGACAAGTCTGCAGACACCCAGGGCAGGGCAGGGGCCATGCACACGGCTTAGGGCAAGCCTCCACTTACCAGTCGGTCAGCGATCCTGAGCAGCTGGTTCTGAGTCTCCACTCTGTGGCTAATGTCCTCCCAGTAGGATGACAGCACCACCACAGGCTTCACGTTGCCCCAGGGTAAGTAGTAGTAGTGGCACCCTGGAGGCCAGAGGAGGTTGAGTATTGGGCAGAAGCCAAGGGCAGGTGGCACACAGCTCTGCAGAGCTCAGACCCCCGGACACTCAGAGCTGCAACTGGCATCATTGGGAAGGGGACCAAGGGTGGGAGGGAGACAGGTGCCTGTTCCCCCTTCCCTCCTAAGAACCCCCTTGGACACACATGGTGTGATCTGTGTTCCCCAACATCCAAACCAGCTGCCTGAGCTGTGGTTCCCTGGGGCTCCTTAGCACATCAAACAGAGGGGTGGTTAGCACAGCCCTGCAGGGAAATCCCAGCCCACATCTCCCAAGTCTCCAAGCCAAGCTCAGCAGACTCCGAATGATGTATAATGATCTGGTTGGGTCAGGATCAGTGAACCACAGCTGCTCCAGGAGTCGGGCTGTGGGCTCTGACAGCGGGGCCCCACCTGCAGGGGCACCGCGGGAGGCAGCACAGGCAGCAGAGCTGGGGTCACCCCAAACAGTCTGCCAGGGCCGGTGCCTGGAGCCTCCCGCAGCCTTGCACAGGAGGCAGGACTCGGGGTGCGGCCCCTGCTCTATGATCCGGGTCTCATCCAGGAGCCAAATCTCGGGCCTCACCGTCAAAGACCGCCCGGCTGTACTGGGTGGTGGAGGCCAGCGGCAGGCAGGTGGTGTCGAACTTGTTCCCATAGTTCCCAATGCTGACCTCAAACTGGATGGCGTCGTCCACGTCCTGCAGCATGGAAGCCGAGTAGAAGGCGGCAAAGAGGGAGTACTTGCGCCTCCGGAGGTACTTCTGAGGGCAGAGAGCAGGCAGGAGGGTCACGATGAAGACACCCAAGGTAGAGGAGGGTCACGTGTCTGGCAGGCCCTGGCCATGACCAGCACCCGGAGACTCCTGGCTGGACTGATGACGGGCAAATCAGTCCAACTCAGAAACAGCATCCAGATTTGGTTACTGACTGAACAAACGCATGCCAGGTCTGTGTGTTTGGCCATATTTCCCCAATAAGATCTGCTCCCCCAAGGTCATGCTGCTCCTTAATCCGAACCAGCAGCAACGGCATCACCACGTCAGCCGAGCAAGGGCTCCCGCGGTGCCCCTCGGGGCAGCCTGGAACCTCCCCCGCCACTCAGTGAGCTGAACACTCTAAACCACCAGGTCACTGCCCAGAGCTCCTGCCCCTCGCCACTCAGGGTCCCCACCACGCCAGCCAGCTCTGCGGCACTCTTGGCCACAGGCTTGGGAGCAGTGAATCTCACTGTCCTCTCTGGGAACAGGGCTGAGGACATGGTAGGCACTCAGTCACATGTGACTTGAACCAACGTGACTCTTTGATTCCCTTCATGGCAGAGCGAAGAAGGATTAAACTGCTCTAAGGTTTTAGGAGAATGTTGAGAGCAAGTGCTTCTTGCATGCATACATTGATTCACTTGTCCCCACAATCTTGTCATTATTATGCCCACCTTACAGAGAGGAAAACTGATACAGCTAGCTGGTAAGTGGTACAGCCAGGACTCATGGGCCCAGTTCTACCATTGGTTGCTCTGATATATCTGAGCCTCAGTTTCCTCCTCTATAAAATGGAGGCAATAACAACCGAGCCCTCACGGGGTTCTGGGAAGACTTGAGGACATCAGAAGGATCGCTAGCACGATATCTGACACATGGTCATTGTTTAGTTGACTTCAAAGCTATGTCTACATCATTATCATAGAACATCATCTCATTTTGCATTGAGCTCCGGGCTTTCCGTATATTTTCATTTATCTTCTTTAAGCTGCTGAACATTCCTCCCAGGGCGCAGGGTAGGTGTTGAATTATTCCCAGTTGACACCTGAGATGCTGAGGCCCAGAGAGGTGAAGGCCCGATGAGCATGAGGCAGAACTGAGTCCTCCCTCTGCCATGACACCCAGTTGGTCACCTTGCCCTGTCTGTCCCCAGCAGGGACCCGCCCTTCTCCCAGAATGCCCCTCACCTCCACCCGGAGGATGTCGTCTGCGGCGAGGTCCTCCACCTTCTGCTCACTGTGCTGCTCTACCAGCTTGGTCTCCAGGGACACCAGAAGCCGGCCTCGGTAGGCCACACCTTCCCCCTGTGAGGGGAGGTCAGGTCACAAAGATGAGGGGTCAAGGGGGAGGGAGGAAGGGAAGGAAAGGGGGACAATCTAGCACTCAGTTCATCTCCTAGGAGATTCCTGAGCCAACCCATGACAGCAGGTGAGGATGTCACGGCCCAGAGAGTTCAGGGACTGTGCCAAGTCACCGAGCAGATTGGTTGTGCCAGCCTCCAATCAACCCCAGGGAGTGTGGCCTGAGTGTCTAAGGGACCGGGACAGTGAAAAGATCAGAGCGCTCCTGAGGCACAGGCAGAGGGGGACACGCAGGAAGAAGGAGCCAGGACCGGGCCAGACAGAAGGAGAATTCTCTGAAGGGATGCCTGCTGACCCTGGAGTCTAGGCTGGGCCTAGCTGCTGCAGGCCAGGCTGGAAGACCCCCACAGGCCAGCCTGGGCACCCGAGGGGCCTGGGGACCTAGTGCTCCAGCAGCTCACCTTGCCAATGTTGAGCTCTGCATATGGGTCCGGGAAGCCTGTGAACTCCCTGGGGCTCCCATAGAGGTTCACGTAGCAGGGCCCGAAGGTGGGGAGGAAGCCCAGATTGTCATCCACTGGAAGACAGAAGCAGGGATCAGAGGCGCTGGCCCCGTGGGGCTTTCTAGGGCTCAACCCAGCCACCTTCAGACCTGAGCCCATCCCTGGCCCTCAGTTTCCTCACATGCACCAGATGCAGCCACTATAAATACATAAACAATAATAGCACTAGACCTAACTGTCACGGGAGGCACAAAGGAGGTCCCAGAGTCTCAGGACCAGTGAAAGGCCCCACTAGAGGTCTCTCCTCCATAGTGCAGCCCCCAGACACAAGCCCCTGTGTCCTGATGGCCTTGATTCATCCCAGGATCCCCTCCCCCACACACACACGATGCAATGAACAATTTTTAAGTGGAGCAGGTCAGAGGAGCCTTAGGGAGAGAATAAACAATGAGGGGAAATCTGTCCTCCACATCATCCCCATCCTTTTCTGGAGGCTTTTATTAATGTCACTTTCTGGTCCATAGCTCCATTTCTCAGGCTGGGACTCTGAAAACCCTGCAAGCCCTCTGTCCCTTTCAGAGAAAGGGGGGAAGAGGACATTCCCAGAATGCCAAAGGTGGGCAGCAGGGCTAGGACCATCTGGGATGACCCTGTCCACACAAGGATGGGCCAAGAAAAGACAATAAAAATGGCCTTAGCAAAAGAGCACCTGGAGCCAACCTAAGGTGTGCACTGTAAGACCCTGGGGGTGAGGGAGGGCAGTGACAGGCAGGAGCCAGGCCCACCCCTCAGCCAGGAGCACCCTCCACACCCTCCCTCTCCAGACCCCAGCACACACAGGGCTCTGGCTCTGAGAACCAAAGTAGGAGGTCTTGCAAAATGAAGCTCACATGAACATGACTAGTCATCTGTGCTGATGGTCTTGATCATGATCTACCTGTGAGCTCCATTTCTAGAGTTTTTCACTCCCTCTGGCCTCCTCCCAGTCCCTGAGACACTTTGCACTCCACCTGGACCACTGAAGCCCCATGCCTGCCCTAACCCCTCACTGCCAGCCCCAGCTCCAGCCCCGCAGTAGTAGGAAGGGGTCTGGGAGGGTGGGAAGAAATTGCTTTTAAGACATTCCAAGCAATTTACATGTTCAACCCGAGGTGAGAGGTAACCACCTGTGGTAAGCTCCAGACCCCCAACCCCATCTCATGCAAATCAGAGAATTCCCCAGTCTCCAACACCCTCACCCCTCCAGCAAAAAGACACCCAAGACCCCAAGCCCTTGTGGTCCCCTAGGTGACAGCAACATACGGTCTGTGGCTCGTGGAGGCTTGACCACACCTGCAGGCTCCTCTGAAGCATAAAGAAATGGAAAAGGGGTTAGGATGGGCACGGCTGGGTGAAGGAATGGTTACATGAACAGGCACGTGGATGGACAGACGGCAGACAGGTGGAAAGACAGCTCCTAAGTGGGAAAGAGACGTGGCCCCAGGCTCCAGCAGAGCCCAGCCATGAGTTTGTCACAGACTAAGCCATCACCAGCCCCACCCCAGCCAGACATAGCCCCTAGGACCACAGTGAGCCCTCGGAAAAGTGGACCCAAAACATGATTAATATGTTCAGCATGATTCAGTGTATTCAAGAAATAATATTTTTACTTTAATAATAAAATATGCTTTTCTATATTATAGCCAGATGAGTGAGAAACACCTAGTACCGACATAAAGAAAGAGCAAGGGAAACATGAAGGGATCAGAGTGAGGCCACAAGGCACACCCAGGACTCCAAACCCAACAGGCAGGTTGACACTAGGGACCAGCGGCTGAGCAGTGGTGTTTTAAGGCACAACATCTCCACCTAGTGGTCACTTCCAGTATTGCCACTGAAGATAAGAGTTGCGTTTTCACAACAGGGGAGCCTGGGGATCTGGCTTCTGGCACCTTCTGCTTCCAAGAAAGCATGGTGACAGATGCTGTTCACTAGCTGAAGGCTCTGCACACTTTGGTGTGCCCATAAATGTTGGTAACTGATTCTAGAAATAGAAGCAAGGAGGGAAATGCTTTGTCTCTCGGTATCCATCACTCATTTCTGGGCAGGTATGAGATACCCCAGGGGAATGAGCAGCCTCAGTCTTCTTCCACCACTGACTCTCCTTAATTTCTGCCCTTTCCTATACTCTGATATTCCTTTTCTTTTCTTCTTATTTTTTCCCCTTCTCCAATCAGCAAAACTGTATCTACGAGTCTGAGGTCATGACCAAGCCTAGAGACATGTTAGTGAACTTGGGGATGATTTTCAGGCATTGCTCACCTTTACCAATTACTCTTCTCCAAAAAAAAAAAAAAAAAAAAAACCTGTTGCTATTTTCCTATAGATTCAAGGGTTAAGCAAAATGTTGTAAATGAGCAGACAGAGAAAGAAAGGAGAGGAGAGGAATGTGGATGCCCAGAAAAGAGGACAGGGCTAACCAAGTGAGGCCAGAGGCACAGGGAGGGTGAGTCCAGTCCCTCCATGGCCAGGTCTCAGCTTCAAATGCCCGCTGGCAGGAAATCCAAGTTCATGGTACTTTGAATATCCTCAGGAATCAGCTTTCATTAGTGAGAGAGCCAGGCCTCTGGACACAGGGGAGCAAGGTGACCTCGGCAAGATGACCTCCTCAGGCACAGCTATGGTCCAAGAAGAATAGTGGCCAGGGACCCCCGGAAGGAAACAGACTTCCACTTTAAGCTAGTTGCAAATGATTATGAACAGATCCAGCCTATTATCTCAGGCTGATGAGGCCAAGGTCATATTTCCAATCCCCGGGTGCTTCTTGCAGAGGTAAACTTGGTTTCCCACCCACAAACTGGCTTGCAAACTGGTTCCCAGCCAGACACAGATGTCCCCCAAATTCTACAAGCCACCTGACCTACACATGCCTCTGGTGGCCAGGAGGACTAAGCACTCCTTTTCATTCATCCATTTGTTCATTCAGCGAGGCTAATCAGGCACCATGCTAGACACTGGGAGTATGTAACAAGACATAGCCCTGCTGACATCTGAGGCCAGTGATTCCTAACTTGAGGGCAGGTCACAGGTCTCTGGGTGCTACAACTCATCCCAGGTTTTCTCCCCTGTGTCTGCAGACAGCTCATAAAGTCAAGGGCAGGGTGGCCGGAGAGCCCGCCCAAGACAAAGCTTCTATTTAGTCCTCTCATCATCCTTGTGCCAAAACACAAGTGTTTTGGTGTGTTTTCTCTGATCCCAGGGAACTAGGACCTGGAAGTCCCATAGCACAGATGAATACTCCCAGTTTTGTGGCCTGAGCAGCAAAGCCCAACTCCCTCACCTGGGGGAAACTGAAAAAGACAGAGCATCCCTCCCTGCCCAGTGAACCACAAGCCCTACAAGCCACAGCCCTGCAGACAGTCCCAAGGGACACACATGTACCCTGGAGAAGTCGAGGCCATTACCTGCAGCTGGCCTGCCAGTTCCCTCTGCCTCTCGGCACACCTCCAAGCCCATGGCATTTGGCTGCCTGACACTCGCCTGAGCCAGGCAAGAGGAGAAACCAAAAACTGCTGGGAAATCGACATCATCTACGTTCCAAAGACAAGAAGAAACTAACTTGGGGTTTCTTAGCCATGGAAAAAACTGTAGGATTCGAGTGCTATTTATACAGCATGATTCTCACATGTGTAAAGTTATCAAGAACTCCATGTAGGTTTCACAGGTCTCACGTGACTGTGACCTTTTGAAAGAACTGCCGCGTCTAAGGAAAGCACTCCCTTTGAAAAAAAAAAAAAAAAAAGATTTTTCCTTGGTGCACAGGGTCCAAGGAATACTTTGGTGTGCCCAGGCAAACTCATGGCAGAAGTACTTAAGAGGTTAGTGTTCGGTCCTGTCCTCACTGGGAATAAAAACAGGAATACAAAAACAAAAACTCCTAACTGAACCGAATCATCTGGGGAAACATGAAGTGGGGGAATGCGGAGAAGAAGTTTTTAGAGTTCAGTTTGGTTTGGGTTTTGAAAGCTGTAAGGAAATCAAGTGTGGTGAATCACCCAGATGTGCTAGAACCCCGTGAGGAGGAGAGAAATAGTACAAAAGAACTAAAGAGAAAGTGGGAAGGGCATGTTCTTTTTTTTTAGTATTTTTTTTTAGCTTTAGGTGGACACAATATCTTTCTTTTATTTGTATGTGGTGCTGAGGATTGAACCCAGTGCCTCACGCATGCCAGGCGAGCGCGCTACCACTTGAGCCACATCCCCAGCCCGTGGGAAGGCCATGTTCTGAGGGGGTTGGGGGACAAGCAAAGAAGCTGAACAGGAAACCAGGCAAGTGCTAAGTTTCAGGACTTCAGAGAAGCTCAGGCCTCAGAAAGAGAGCCACCTCCAGGAAGGGACATCCTAGGAACTGAGCAGTCCCAAGAATAGCCTAGTTCAACCAATCAGTTTAACTCTTTCATTGTCACATAGATCAAGCTATTTAACTATATATTTAAAACCCAGTTGGCTGGTTGCAAAAAAGATTCTCCTTTATTTCCAGAATAATCTGGGAGGAGATGGTCCTGCTCTTGGAAACCTCCCTGAAGCACCCTGGGTTGCCTGTGACTGGAGCGCCATCTAGTGGCCACATAAACACCTTTCTTGCCTTCCCATTAAAACAGTCGAGATGTCAAGTTTTTCGAGTTCTTTATGTATTCTGAATATTAATCCCTTGTCTAAGGAGCAGGTGGCAAAGATCTACTCCCATTCTGTAGGCTCTCTCTTCACATCTTAATATTTCCCTTTGCTGTGCAGAAGCTTTTTAATTTGATGCCATCCCACTTATTGATTCTTGGTTTTATTTCTTGGACTTTAGGAATCTTGTTAAGGAATTTGGGGCCTGTGCCAAGTGTAAGCCTATTGTGTTTTCTTCTAGCATGCAGAGTTTATGATGTAATTCTTAGGTCTTTGAGTTGATTTGTGCAGGTTAAGAGACAAGGATCAAGTTTTACTATTCTACTAATGGATATTAGTTTTCTCAGCACCATTTGTTTAAAAGGCTATCTTTTCTCCAAAATATGTTTTTACCACTTTTTTTTTTTTAGTATCAGTGACTGTATCTTTCTGGATGGGTCTCATGTCTTCTATTCTATTCCATTGGACTTCACATCTGTTTTGGTGCCAAGACCATGCTGTTTTTGTTACTATCGCTCTGCAGTATAATTTGAGGTCCCAGATTATGGTGCCTCCAGCTTCACTTCTTGCTCGGGATTGCTTTGGCTATTCAGGGTCTCTCATTCTCCAGATGAATTTTGGAACTGTTTTTTTCTAGTTCTGTCGTTGGTATTTTGATGAGGATTGAATTGGATCTGTATAATGCTTTTGGTAGAACTCAAAAAAAAAATTTAACAGCAAAAAGCAAATAACCTAATTAATGAACTGGCAAAAGAACTAAAGAGATACTTCTCAAATAAAAAACACAAATGGCCAACAAATATATTAGAGGATGTTCAACATCTGTAGCAATCAGGGAAATACAAATCAAAAGTACACTAAGATTTCATTTCACTCCAGTCAGAATGGCAATTATCAATAATACAAATAATAATCCATGCCAGTGAGGATGAAGGGGGAAAGGTGCACTGGTACATTGTTCATGAGACTGAAAATTAGTACAACCACTCTGGAAAGCAGTTTGGAGATTCCTCCATTGACGAGGAATAGAACTACCACATGACCCAGCAATCCCACTCCTTGGTATTTATCCAGAAGATCTAAAATCAGCATACTACAGGGACACAGCCACATCAATGTTTAGAGCAGAACAATTCACAATAGCTAAGCTATGGAACCAAAGTAGGTACCCATCGATACATGAATGGACTAAGGATATGTGAGATACACACACATACACACACAAATGGAGTTTACTCAGCCAGAAAGAAGAATGATATTATGTCATTTGCTGGTAAATGGATGGGACTTGAGAGCATCAGGCTAAGTGAAATGAGCCAGAATCAGAAAGTCAAGGGTCAAATGTTTTCTCTCCTATGTGGAAGCTAGACCAAAATAGGAGGGGAAAAGGAGGGAGGGAATCCCAAGAAAACAGAGGAGAGATCAGCGGAGTAGAGAAAAGAAACTGAGGGGGGGAGAGAGGGGGGACAGGAAAGGGGAGAGACCATGAAATGAATCTGATGAGAATGTTCTATGTACGTATATCTATCTATGATGCATTAACTTTTAATAAATTATAAGTAACGAGAAGAAAGACCAGTAGAGTAGAGGAAAAGGGCACAGGAGGTGAGAAAGAGAGGGGAAGAGGAATTACCTGGGACAGAATTGGAGCAAATTATAGCCCATACTTATATAATTATGTCAAAATGAACCCCCAATATATGTACAACTATAATGCATTAATTTTTTAAAAAAGTCCAATAACACACACAAAAAAAGATGAAGGCCAACATCTCCATCAGAAATGAGGACTGATCCACTCCAGCAGGTGGATGCTGTCAGCCTCATGGAGCAGCAGCTGTTGGAAAATAGTCAGAAAAATCATGTTGGCCTCCACCAGGATCTGTCCCAGGATTCAGAGAGGGACAGTAGCCGTCAGAAAACCAGAGAACAACCTCCTCCCATTCCAAGAGTTGTGACCTGGGAGGAAGCCAGAACACCCCTGCACCACCCCATGATGCAGTGTCCCCGCCTCAGGTCCTTCAGCCTGCAAAGGCCAGACAGTCCTTTGTAGGAGCCTGATGAAGGGGACCTCCTCCTGCAACAGGCAGTTCTCCCAGTCAGGAGGGGAGCAGCTGGGGCAGGAGTCCTTAGCAGCTCCTTCTAGAAGGTTGTTTTTATGAATTCCACCAATGCAAAGTATCAAGGGTGAACTCAGAAAGGCAGAGAGTAGCTAGACGTTGAAGCTGAGCGAGGGTAGCTGGGAGTTTGTTGTATAATTCTCTAGGATGTGTTTGAAATTTCCTATATTTAAAAGGTTTGTCTGAAAACTGTTTCAAAGAACCTGGAAGAAGGGATTGGAGAAGGCACTGACTGCAAGAGTACTGGTTACAGGGCTGGGGATGTGGCTCAAGTGGTAGCACGCTCATCTGGCATGCGTGCGGCCCGGGTTCGATCCTCAGCACCACATACCAACAAAGATGTTGTGTCTGCCAATAACTAAAAAAATAAATAAATAAATATGAAAAAAAAAAAAAAAAAAAAAAAGAGTACTGGTTACAGTCTTCCAGGAACTAAGCACATTAGCCTGTTCTGCTGCTAAGAATCCGTGCAGACGGACAGACAGACCTGTGCCCTGTCTGGACAAGGACCCCCTCATTGAGCTGATCGTGCTAGAGAGTGAATAAAGCAGGAGGGGAATGACAGAGTCCCACCACCACGGGGAAACAGCACCTGTAAGATTCAGGAGAGCCTCCATCTGAATGTTTTGGAAAGTGGTTTGGGATCCTCAATAGTGAACACGAGGTACCCTTCGTGGACACAGCAAAACTTATGGGAGAGGACAGACAGCAGTAAAGAAGAAAAGGAAAAATATATAAAGACAGAGGGAAGAGAAAGTTTGTCAAGAAAGAGTGTATAATAAATAGTTCCTTTTAAGGCCACATGGGAAGCCGAGAAAGCAGAATTGATGCAGAAAAGTACATTAGATGAGTGATGTGAAAAGTCAAGCATAATGATAGTCAGTGTGACTTTAGGGTTTATTCTATACCAGGTACTGTAAGAACTTTACCATTGTAATCTCACTGAATCCTTCCGACAACCTTAGGTTGGAATTTGTAAGAGCCTTGTTTTACAGAGAGGAAACTGGAGCGAGTCCCTCAGCTACAAAGAGGCAGAGCCAGCCTAAGGTGACCCCAAGCTGGCTAGCTGCAGAGTGGCAGCTCCCTCCTGCCCCACCCTGCCCTCAGCAGCCCCGGAAATGATGCTAGAATTAAAAAATAATATATCCCTCAACTCATATTTAAGAATTTACATGTCTCAGGAAAAATAAATAATGAAACCAGTCCTGCACCTAGATGGATCTAAGTACCGTAAGTGACCCATGAGACATTCCAGTACATGAAGGACCAAGTTGACACAGTGGTCCCATAAGATTGTATGGCTGATGACCCCATGGCCTTCTTGGTGGGTGTAAGTACACTCTGTGATGTTAGGACAATTAAATCAACAAGCAAAGCACTTGTCAGAGGTCACCCCAATCATGAAGCATGGTGTGACTGTTATTTTCTAAACTATGAGAAAGAGATAAATTCCTACAAAAAAAACATCTCCTCTGGGGGGGAAAAAATATGTATACCACCTACACAGGAATGAAATCACACTGGTCTCAGAAAATACACTGAAACAAATTCAGAATGGAGCACTCAAGTATAAAGACTTAAAATTAAAAGCAGTTCAATATAACCTGGGTTTGGTGAAGACCTTTTAAGCACGATATATAAGGCAGAAACAAGACTTCAACTATTTAACTCATTAAAGACAAATGGAAGAAATTAGAAAGTTTAAAAAGGAAACAGTGAAATCAGTCTAAAGAGTTAAACAGGATAAAATTGACAAAAGCTGATAAAGTTTAAAAAAAAAAACTAGTAAGACTCATCAAGAAAAAACTCCAACACAATAGAAACGAGAAAAAGGAAAATACCACAGGTAGAAAGAATTGTTTACATTATAAAAGGTTGCTCTGCACAAGAGTATGTGAATGGATTTAAAGTAATGATGTTTTCCTAGAAAAAGGTAAACTATCAAAATTGACTAGAGTAAAAGCAACAAACTAAAAATAACAATAATCACAAGAGAAATTGAAAAGCTTAAAAGAGCTATTACTACACCCACTCAAAAAGGGCACCCAGCCCATATGGTTTTATGGGTGAATTATTTCAAACCCTCAAAAGTCTATATTCTTATGTTATATAAACTGTTCCAGATGTTAGAGAAGACTTTAAAATCTTTCCAATTAATTTTACAGAGCCAGCATAACCCAGATACCAAAACCAAAGAAGTAATACACAGACATACCAAATGAAGATAATAGAAAATCGAGAAACTGGCCCAAGAACACATTTAGGAATTTAGTAGGTGATAAAGATAGCATTTAACACTGTAGAGAAAAATTATTTTAAATATAGTTTTGGTATATCACCAAAAAAATTTTTGAAAAAAAAATTAGAGTCCTGCCTTATTCATTAAGGAAAAGATTAACAGATTTGGCTTTAGAAAAATTTAAATTACTGTAGGTCAAGAACTATTAGTTGGTAAAATAAAGCTGACCAGAATTACTTGCCACATATATGACAAGGGGAATAAACATCCGTATACATATAGAACTCTTACAAAACAATGAGAAAAAGACAGCGTACCATCATAAATATGGACCAAAAATATGCATTTTTAGCAGAATAGCCATAAAGTATATAAATATATATCACATATAAATTTTAGTCTTTTTAAATTTACACTGGTCCATTTCACCAGCTATCAGTGAAATGAACATTAAGGCAACAATCGGATACTATTTTCAGCCAATAAATTAACAAAGATCTTTATGACATTATTATTTTACCTTGCATTCATGTGGATGCAACAGAAAAAGCTTATGGGAGTAACTGGATTATAGATTAGTCCAGATTTTTTAAAGGACAATGTGGATACAGACAAAAAACCTTAAAAATGTTAAAATCCTCTGATGCAGCAATTCCACTACTAGATAGTCATCCAAAAGAAAACTCATGAACTGCACAGATATTCAGCCACAAAAATAGTCATTGAAAGCCAGTTGTTCATAATGTAGAAAAATTAGAAAACAGTTAAATATTCAACATTTACTAGTGTGTGTAAATTACGGTACATTCACACAATGAAATGTTTGTTCACTTAAAACTGTTGTAGAAAAGCATTTAATCACATGAAAATACATCTACATTGTATTGTCAAGTGACAAAAGGCAATTTTCAAAACAATTTAACTTTTAATATATACGTTTATATTCCTTTATGGATGTACACACACACACACAGAAAAACACAGAAAGGTCCCAGAATACTAATAGTTCTTGCCTGCGGTAGAAGATTTATTTACCACATATATGACAGGGGGGTAATTAACATGTAATTTCACACAAAGGTCTTATATACTTTTTTTCAGGTTATCTTTTTATTTAAAATTTTATAAAATAACAATAGGTTACTTTTCAATAGACTAATACAAGCCATTACAAAATAGAAACTGCTATGCACAGTCATCTACCAAGAGATTACCCTCATTGTACCACTCACTCAGTGATACATTCTACCATTCAACTGTGGAGCATCCTAAGTGTCTCCAGGGCTTCTCTCTCACTGGCCAGAGCCCTACACCATGGAAAATGGACAACAAAGACCTTATAATCCTCCCTTTTCTGCAAACTCTCCAACTCAGAGGTGAGATGGAAAGAGCCTGCGGGGTCAGAGAACTCAACACAGGTGGAACTTACCTTCTATCTCTCCTCCAGGGGCAGAGATTTTCGACATACTCAGGTAGGTGGTGGCCACGATATCATTGTGAGTAAGGCGATCCCTAGAACAAGGGGACAGAGAGAACCTGAGCACAGGAGGAGGATATAGACCACTGTCTACCCTGGAAGGACTCGGCCGGTGTTACACATATGGGGAGTCCCAGTCTTCACACCAGGTATGTTGGTGAGGCCTGGTAATCCCAAGGAAGAAGAGATTGGACAGAAAGTTCACCCCAGCTGCCCCTAGAGGGAACGAGTCTGTCTTGCCAACCATTGGTATCTCATCAGCCAACCAGCTCAGCCAGCAGCCTGGAACCCTCAGGTTGACAGGGAGGAGGCGGGAGGCAGGGAGGGTAAGCCATCAGGAGGCTGCTCAAGAGCAAGATTCCCAGACAGAGCTGAGACTTCAGCAGCTAAAGAAATACCAAGTTCAAGGAGAAAACCAGGTGACCAGGAAAAACTAACTCCAAGGCCACCATCTTGAATTAGCCAGTGCCAATGCATGATTCCCTTTTGTGTGTGACTTTACATGTGACCAAGTACTTTTGAAGAAACAAGTACTTTCATTTGCATCTCTGTTGTATAACCAGGACCCAGGCTTGGAGCTGTGCAGGTACTGCCCCAGGGTCAGCCCGACAAGGAGGAACAGAGCCAGGCCTGGTGTCCTGATTCCTGCTCTGGTGCTCCTGCTGTGGCTCACATGGCTCCTTGGCAAGGAAGGAGCCAGTCCTGCTTCCCACGCAGCGTAGAGGACTGTGGGTAGGAGAGTGACTGATCTCCCCATTAGCCAGCAACCTCCTGGGCAGACTCTCCTGAACCCTATGCCCACCTCCCTTGATAACAATAAAAATAACAGCTAACATTTAAGCCTTACTCAGCCACTACTAAGCCAAGCACGGTACTAAACCCATCATGTGATCTAGCTCACTTATAACATCTGCCCCATTGGGTAGGTACTACAATTAGCCTCGACTTCAGGCTAAGGATACTGAGGTTGAAAAAGTTAATTCATTTCCAAAGATGGCCAATATTTGATTTGGGACCTGACATTCCTGACATGGAAACCAAGTTGGTTGTAGCCACTTGCTGCTTCCTTGGCAAGTTGGACTTGAGGTTCTAAACCTAGTAGTTTTGATCCCCCAGGGAACTTTTGGCTAAGTTTTGGAGTGAGAAGCGGGTGCTTACCAGCACCTACAGGGTAAAGCCAGGAATGTTCCTAGTCAGCCTAAGCAGACTGCACAACCTCCATCCATCGTGAAGGACTATCAGCCCCAAAGATCAATCTGCTGAGGTTGAGAAACACTGGGCTGAGCAAGACCTATGTATGACCTTCAGGAAGCTTCTCTGGTGCACCTTCAATCCCTCTTCTACTCAAGGTCCAGGACCCCCTCTTTCCTTGCTAGGTGAAGTTTGGCCATGGGTGGCATCTGGAGAGGGTACATCCCAGCTCCATCACAAAAGACACCTGAGCCTTCTTTTTAAATCCCCATGAGATAGTGATTTCTGCTGATCCCTTTCTTCCTCTTCATATTTCTCAGGAAGGTGATTCAACTCTGATTTTAAAGTTTTTCCATCAGGACAAAGGGGCTGCATGAGGAGGAGTGACCTGTCAGCACAAATCTGCATCACTGTTCTGGTGAGTGACATGAGCAAGAACTGGAAAAGGAGAATTTCCTTGAGATTATCGATACAGATACCTGACAGCGGATGGCATCCTTGAACTGCTTTCCCGCCCAGCCCTAGAAAATACCAGCTCATGAAAAAGAATTGGATTTCTGACCTCTGAATTGGATTTTCTGAATCAGGCGAGGAAGGAAGGAGAATGGGAGGAGAGAGGTTGTTTTTATGGTGGTGGGGAGTGGCTTTGGGGACATTTTTTTTTTAATGAAAAAAAGGAATTTTTAAAGAATTGAAAGGAAGATTAAGTTTCAGAGAAAAGGCCATATGGACTGTATCATATTTCCAGGATTCAGGTAATTACAAAAGTTTATCTGTTTTCTGGGAAGAAAGCACTTTTCGGGACAGGAACATGTAACAGAGGAATGCTTTCTGGCCAAGAGTTGGGGTTTGGGGCTTGGGGTTGCTTTTGGAAAATACAGCGAGTCTGAAAATAGACTCACAATAAAAATGCCACTTCAACCCAAACCAGAGACGCAACCACCAGATTCGGTAATGTGTTTGGATTGTACAGTATGCCGATGCCTCTGACACGGCTCCGATGGAGTCAGGCCAGCACATCCACGGCACAGGGCACAACCGCATCCACACGCGAGCACATGCACACACAGGCCCAGGCACGCACCGCCAGCCGCCCCGGGCAGCACAACACACAAGTCGCCAGCTGAAATGCAGGGATCGCTCTGGGGATGTAAAGTGGGTCTCTCCAAACCGCTTCCCCACGGCACATACCCGCGGTCACAGCCCGGGGGCCTCTCCCTCGTCCCCCCCACCACCTCCACCACCCTGCTGCTCCCTTCCCTCTAATTCTCACAAGCTGTTTTCTTTAGGCCTGGGGAACTGGCACACACTTTAATGGCTCTGTGGCCTGGGGGTTTTTCCCTGGTCTCTCATTATCCTGCTGGTTGGGGGTGTCATGGGCCTGGGACCAAAGAAGAGCATGCCAGGGAACCACACGGCCAAGACTTTTGGGGGCAGAGAAAGGACAGCTCTCTTTTTGGAAAGCCTGGTATCCTAAAGATTGCATAGGTGGACCCTGAACGTCCCCCTCAAGCGTGAGAGGGATCGTCTTGACATTGCAGGAGGCAGTGTTGCCTAGTGGTTAAGGATGCAGGCTTGAGTTCACCTCTGACCTCTACTACGTTCCCGCTGTCCCCTCAAGCAAGTCACTCCGTCTTTCCCAATCTATTCCCTGCCGCGTGAAGTAGAACCCCATCACTGAGTCAAGGGTCAGAGGAAATAATGCACATAAAGTGCTTGCTAGGTGCTCAATGAGTGTTAGATACTAAGATTTTTCTAAGATGCCCGTGAGCTCTTGTCCTCACCTGCTCCACACCTGCAGTGCTGTCTCTGCTCAGGCCACTGGCCCAATTCCCTATCCTGGAAACTGTCCTGTGCCACCCCATTGGTGGACAATAGCCCATGCTCCCAGAAGCTCTGCTCTCTCAGTTTCCAGGCCTCAGTATATGACCTTCTGCTCCCTGGAACGCTGTCACCATGGACATATGAAACCCTCTATCCCACCAGGTCATGGATGCCCCACCTCCCCCAGGGAGCCTCCCAGCCCTCAGGTCCCCAGAGGTGGAGCCCCCTCAGCCTCCCTGGCTGTGCCCTCTTTATCTGCTACCAGGACAGACATGGTGGGCAAGCAGTGAGCCAGCGTCCCCAAACCACCAGCCCTGCACCCCCTCACTCTGCACAGACCACATTTCACTCAAATCAGGCTGAATGAAACCCAGGGCCTCCGTGGCCCTCAGGGCAGCCCCCTCTAGAACCCCCGCTTGGAGCTCACCAGTCCACTACACGGATCTTCATTTTTTCACACATGGAGGGAAACTGAGGAGGGAAAAAGAGGCGTGTTGAGAGTAGTCCTTTGAAGACAGTGACATCCCCTCCTCCACATAGAAGTCCAAGATGCCACAGGAGGCTGGAGAGGACGGGGGCCTGGACCTCCTCAAGTCCCAGGCCCCAGGGCCTCCTGGGGAGGGTCAGTGGGTGGCAGATCGAGGCTCACCATGGCGGGCAGCGTGATGTGCTGGTTCCACTGGGGGTTGGCCGTCTTCTCCAGGATCTTGCTGCAGAGCTGGGAGAAACAGAGGACAGGGGCACTGAGCTCCATGGGACTCTGGGATCCCTCAGGGACCACCCCAGCCAGCAGCCACTTTCCACCACGCTGACTGCCCTTAGGGCTGGGCTTAAGACTCTGGGGTCTTGGGGCCAAGTGCAGTGAGCTCAGACTTAGGAAATCTTTGCAAAGACAAAGTTCAGCAGGAGGTCAGACCCAGAGCTAGGAGTTGGGTGAGCTCCCTGAATGGCACAGCCCTTCCACCCTGAACTCATACCTCTGGCTGGAAATTCTCCTTTTGTACCTCTCATTATGGATATGATCCTAAATGTGGGGTCCCTGAATCCCAGAGGCCTCCATAGTCCAAGGCACCCCTCCTCCCTCTGCCCATCAGACCAGATGACTCTCCACTTTGGAAGGTAGTGGAGATCAGAGGTGGGGGAGGGACAGGAAGGGGGCCAGGGCCCTGCACCTGCATCTGAAAGTGAAACAAAATTCAGTGAAGATCTAAACCCTATAAGTCACCGTCTGTCTCGGACCAGCCCTGCCCTAAAGACAAGGCTTGTCCCAAACAAGAATCCTAACAGGAACAGAAAAAGATCTAAGCCTGTAGCTCACATGCCAACCCTCTCCTTGTAGTCCATGGGGAGCACCAGGCCCTTTGTCCAGCCCCAGGCTGCAGCCACACACAGACACAGCAGGTAAAGACTCAGTTTCAAATAAGTAGATCCTGGTGGGTTTGCATGTTCTGCACATAAAAATAACCAGCAGGCCTTTTCAGAGCATTTCCTAGAGACCATGTAGCGTGCTAAGCACTGCATTTTATGTGCATTATCTCATTTAATGAGCATCTGAGTTAGATCAGGGACTTCAGATCCCCAGAGTGAGGGCTTTTTCTCCATCCCTCATCCACCCAGTGCCAACCCCTGCCCCACCTTCCTCCCCGCTGTAAAAAGAGCTCAAGCAAAGGCTGCGTGGGGCTGGGGGAAGGGATGGGTGCCAGAATTTGGGCCTTGTGTTAGCAAAGAGAGGGAGGAGGAGGGAAAGATGAGAGAGCAGCTGTGGAACAGTGGGCAAGAAATGAAACAGTTCACAGGAATGGAGACACCACAGGCAGCGAAGCATTAAAAGATGTTCATAGTTTAGCTATTGTGAATTGAGCTGCTATAAATGTTGATGTGACTGCATCACTGTGGTGTGCTCATTGTAAGTCCTTTGGGAATAAACCGAGGAGTGGGGTAGCTGGGTCAAATGGTGGTTCCATTCCAAGTTTTCTGAGGAACCTCCACACTGCTTTCCATAATGGTTGCACCAATTTGCAGTCCCAATTTGCTGCAATTTGCAGCAATGTATGAGTGTGCCTTTTCCCCACATCCTCACCAACATTTATTGTTGCTTATATTCTTGATAATTGCCATTCTGACTGGGGTGAGATGAAATCTTAGAGTAGTTTTGATTTGCATTTCTCTGATTGCTAGAGATGGTGAACATTTTTTCATTTATGTGTTGATCGATTGTATATCCTCTTCTGAGAAGTGTCTGTTCAGTTCCTTGGCCCATTTATTGATTGAGTGATTTGTTTTTCTGGTGTTAAGTTTTTTGAGTTCTTTATGTATCCTGGAGATTAGTGCTCTGTCTGAGGTGCAGGAGGTAAAGATTTTCTGCCATTCTGTAGGCTCTCTCTTTACGTTATTGATTATTTCCTTTGCTGAGAAGAAGCTTTTTAGTTGGAATCCATCCCATTTATTGATTCTTGATTTTACTATGGAACCAACCTAGGTGCCCTTCAATAGATGAATGGATTAAAAAGTTGTGGGGTGTGTGTGTGTGTGTGTGTGTGTGTGTGTGTGGAATATTACTCAACCTTAAAGAAGAATGAAATTATGGCATTTGCAAGTAAATGAAGGGAGCTGGAGAATATGTGCCAATAATAAGCCAATCCCAAAAAAACAAAAGCTGAATGTTTTCTCTGTTATGCAGATGTGGATTCACAATGAGGGGAGGGGCTAGGGAAGAATAGAGTTACTTCAGATTAGGTAGAAGGGAGTGAAGGGAGGGGAGGGGGTATGGGGGTAGGAAGGATAGTAGAAAGAATCAGACATTATTACCCTCTATACATACATAACTATACGACTGGTGGGATTCTACATCATGTACAATCAGAAGAATGAGAAATGATACTCCATTATATATTTATATATATATATATATATATATATATATATATATATATATCAATTCATTATATATATCAATCTATTGTAATGTATAACAAATTAAAACAAATTTAAAAATCTTTAAAAAGATGTTCGACCTCATTCATCATAGAAGAACCACAAATAAAATCAATGAGATGAAATTTCTCATCATCAGATTATAAAACTCTCTATAATCTGACAACCCACTGTTGGGAAACTGCACGCTCACATTTTGCTGGTAGGAAAATGAAATAGCTTGATACTTCTAGGAGGCAATTGGCCACTACCTATCAAAATTACAAGTACATATTTTCTTTGACCTGTAAATTCTACCTCTAGACATTTATCCCACAGAAGTGCTTGTACATGGGAAGAATGACCTACATGTGAGGTTATTCAACACAGAATGGCTTGGACTAGCAAGGATTCTGAACAACCCAGGTATCCAAGAGAGGACAGGTTAAATAAATTATGGTCCATTCACCCAATAGAGTACTATGCAGTTCTAAAAAAGAATGAGGACCACTCTATGCACAGACATGAAATAATGTCCAAGCTATATATTATTAAGTAGAAAAAGCAAGCTGCAGAGCCATGAGTCTAATGTGCAGCCATTTATATTAGAAGGGTAAAAGATAAAAACTATAGTCATGTTTACTTCCATATGCATAATGAAACCAAATAATATAAAACAAACTAGCTACAAAGGTTTCCTTTGCAAGGAGGAAATGAGTAGCGTTGAATGGGTACAGAGAGACAGGGAAATGATAGGTAGGTACAGAAGAGATGGAATGTTCCTATGTAGAGGTATTACCTAATTCAGTTTTTTAAAAGAAAGGACTCTCAAAATACCATAGCTGACAGCCCTGTCTGCCCTGCGCTTCTTGCACTCAGGGCATTCAGCCTCACCCTGGGGAGGCCAGAGCCTCTTCCACAGCAAACACTTCAACCCTTGGAGGCTCCCACTGAAAGAGCCACTGGGATGTGGGCCTGGGGGCATGAACAAAGGCCAGTCCACCTACCTCTGCCCTTCTGCACCAGACATCACTACAGCACTGGGCTCGGGAACCAATTTAAAGTGAAATCACACACACACACAAAGGCATAAAACATGCAAAAAAAAAAAAATGAAGTAGTACTAAACAGACCCAAAAAAAGGGCCACATCTACAAGATGAAAGATAGAGGCAAAGCCGGCGGGACCTCAGCAGCCAATATCCAGCTGGGGGAGGAGGAGGAGGAGGAGGAGGAGGAGGAGGGGGAGGGGGGGGGAGGAGGAGGAGGAGGAGGAGGAGGAGGAGGAGGAGAGGAGAGGGGGAGAGAAAATCAACAGGAAAACATACCAGAAAGAAACACAGGCAGACCCTAGGTGAACTATGGTTATCTCTGGGATGGTGAGGGCCACAGAAATAAAATATGGGTTGGGTGTGGGTTTTGCTTCATTTTCCTGTTCTCTGATTTTTTTTCAACTCTTCTTTTTACAAGTAATGGGTTATATATTTTTTTTATTCATAAAAAAATTTCTGAACCTCCACCCCTTCCCTACAAGTACCTCCCCTTGCCTTTTCCCATATATGAAGTATGTACACACACACACACACACACACACACACACACACACACACACACCATCCCCCTGAGTAACTTGGTCAAATCCAAACGGTTCACATCTTGGGTAATAGTGCCACCTTGTGCCCATAAGCAGTACTGCAAAGATGTCCAGGCGGGGCTTGATAGACCCAGAGGACAAAACCCTAGCACTCTTCAGATTAGGATGCAATGAGATCATCAGACAGACAGATGAAGAGAGCATGGAGAGTCCATGAGGAGATGATTGAGAGCAGAGAGAAGAGGCCACAAGGGCCAAGGATCACAGAGGAGGCTGACCAGGCTGACGCTATCAAGGGGGAGATTTCAGGGGCCCCTTCCTTATAAACTCATTCTTCAACTCCCACCACCCCTTTGAGAAGGACCATGGGCTGCAGCTTCTTGCTTAAGCCCAGCTGCCCTGGGCTTCGTACAATCCTGGGCCTCAGCCAGGCCCCGCCCCTGATCACCTCCCCTGGCCATCTGCACCTTGCCAGAAAAACTCCCAGGGTCAAAAGACCCCAGGAGCTGGGTAAGGTGGTGCACACCTGTAATCCCAGTGGCCTGAGAAGCTGAGGCAGGAGGATCACGAGTTCAAAGCCAGCCTCAGCAATTTAGTGAGGCCCCAAGCAACTCAGCAAGACCTGTCTCTAAATAAAATATTTTTTTTAAAGGGGCTGGGGATGTGGCTCAGTGGTGGAACACCCCTGGGTTCAATCCCTGATACCAAGAGGAAAAAAAGGCCAGGGGAGATGAAGGGGGGCTGGAAAAGACCCGGGAGCAGCAGGAGCTCCTGAGATTTGGCTCCAAGGAAAGCAGGCCATTAAAATTGGTCTTGGGTGTCACACCATGGAAGCACCCTATCATGGGGGAACATGGAATAAAGACAATTTTCCCGGTTGGCATGACCTTCTCCATCTGTCAGTGGAAAACACTGATCCTAGTCCTTGGAGCAAAAGCTACCTAGCCATAGCTTCCTGTCTCCTCCGTGCAGAGCGGAGCAGAGAGAGTCCATGAGGAGATGATTGAGAGCAGAGAGAAGAGGCCACAAGGGCATCCTGTCCTGGCCCTTCCTGAGGTTAGGTCCAGGGTGTCAGATGCAGACCCCAAACCAAAACCAAAACCTGCACCAGAGAAAGATCTGCCAGCAGCATTTGAAGGAGCTTAAAGCCTGAGTCACGGGACCCAAGACGTTCTCATTGAGACCCTGCGTTAGGCTCTGGGGATGGAAGAACCAATGGAAGGGCTCGCAATAGCCAATTTCAGGATAACGTGTGCATCAAGCCAACAATGACGGATTCCAACACGTTGAATTTATAAAATTAATGTGGTCCCTTGTAATAGTCAAAGGGGCAAGGGGATCAAAGCTTTTCTCCACAGAGAAATGCCAACTAATAAAGAGAGATGGAATGATAATGAAAATCATCATTCTGCAACCCCAAGGAAATGATTTACTCAGGAATGAATACAATCAGAAATAGGATACCTTCACAGAGCCCAGGCTATGGTCTACATAGTGCTGGAATTACACAGGAAGACACTGACTTTTAAAAGGGGGAGATCCATAGGCACCCCCTTAATGGAGCGTTCAAGGTGTCATCACCCATGACACTGATGCCTGACATCACTGCTTCCTGACATGTTGCAACATGACGTTCAGAGCATCACGTGTGACGAATTCTTGACAACATACATAATCTGAATCTAATGGAGTCTGCAGACCTAACTTTCAGTTTATAGAAAGTACAGGAGCCAGCAGAGGAAATTAAGCCACACCTGCAAGAAACAGAGAAATCCAGAACTTGGACAAGTGGCCAGGGTCTCCAAAGGGTCAATATCATGGTGAGGAAAAATGGCAGCAGGGGAACACTGTCGTGTGGTCCTGGGAAGAGGTGGCAGTGGTTCTGGGGACGCAGGGAAAGGCTGGGTCCTTTGAGGTCAACTCTTGAGGTCAAGAGTTAGAGATGGCATGTTTACTGTAGATAGAGAGAAGAGGGAGGAGTCCAGGCAGGCCCACAGTACAAGTTCTGCCTTGGGTGGTGATACCCGGTTAAGATGGGGGCTCCTGGACATGGGGCAGCTGGTGGCAAAGAAAATGAGTCCTGAGTCAAAGCTGTTCAGAAGCAGAGCTGAAGGTGAAGGAGGAATCAGAGCTAAAGAGACCTGTGAGAGTCCCCCCTGCATTGGCAATGGCTGAAGCCCAGGAGCAGCCCAGGCTACTAGAGAGACCCCTTAGGGTGGACACAGACACTGGGAGGCACCTGCCTGTGTGTAGAGAAGGGCAGGGGCAGAAATTGACAGGGACAGGTGTAACTGCCTTAGCCCTGGGCAGTGAAGAATCCCTAGGGTGCCCACCAGAGTGGTCTTTCCCTGCCCGACTCCTGCCACAACTGTTAAGAATAATCATGTTTTGAATCCCAGGCCTTACAAGGGCTAAGTGAGCACTTTACCACTAAGCTACATCCCTGTAGCCCTTCTCACTAAGTTGCCCAGGTTGGCCTTGAACTTGTGATCCTCCCACCTCAGCCTCCTGGGTGTGTACCACACCTGGCTCATCCCACATTTTTCTTTAAAAAGCTTTCCCTATCTATATGCCTTCACATCTGCTTTCCACACAATTGCTTAATTTTCCACCAGTGTATTCAGTGTCCATCTGTCCTCTCTGGGTCTATATCCACACCTCGGTGTCTGGCTGGACACCTTGGGCAGACCTGTCCACATTTTTGTGGGCAGCAGGCCCAGAGAGCCAGACCTGGGCATGCATCCCAGGATCAGTGCCCACCATGCACACCCCTCCACTGCACCTCACCTTGAACTGTTCTCTCTGACACTTGTTCGAAGGATGCTCAGCCCTCTCCCTCCCCCAGGGGCCCTCCCCCTCCCTCATTCCTTACCATTTTCCCTGCAAAGCTGACTTCCACAAAGGGGTCCACCAAGTTCTTCTTGTTACTGTCAAAGCCAAAGATCTGCTTCACGTTGTCCATCACAGCATCATCCACTGGGCAGAAGGACAAGCCAGTCACCACCTGCTATCCCCCATGCCAAACCCCAACTCTGCTCCATCCATCTCCAGGCAGCCCCGGCTAGACCTGAGTGAGACACTATGGCCCCATCCTCTGGGGCTCAGCCCAGGCGCTCCCAGGAGGGAGGACTGCTGCAGAGCCACAGCCCCTGAGAGCCCTGGGCTGCTTCCTTCCTCAGCCCCAGACACCTTGTCCACTGTCCCCTCAGCATTAAGAGGTTTCAAAGCAGGTCTCCAGGCTGGGGGTGTAGCTCAATGGTAGGGTGTGAAGCCTTGGGTTCAAATCCCCAGTGCCAAAAAAAAAAAAAAAAAAAAAACTTAAAAAAGAAGTTTGCAGAGCAGGTCTCCAAGTAACTGTTTGATTGATTCAAGATCTACATCACCAAGGATAGTAAGCAATCTAAAAAAGGATTGAAAGTTTTTATAATACCCCATTGTTGGTGACCCTTCCTGTTTGGTTTTTGTTGATGCTGGGGATTAAACCCAGAGTCTTACTCATGCTAAGCAAGCACTCCCCCTCTGAGCTACACCCCAGCCCATTTAAAAAAGAAAGGAAAATCACCCAAAGTACTGAGGTTGGCCTTGAACCTGCCACCAACACCCACACCATCATCTCAGCCTCCCAAATACCTGGGATTACAGGTATATGCCACAACACCTGGTTGACATTGTCCTTTATTTCCATTAGCAGAGTAATTTACCTAAGGTTAGCCAATCAGTCAATTCTGGCTTCCTTTGGTTTGGCGTACTGAGGATTGAACCCAGCGGTGCTACATCCCCAGCCCTTTTTATGTTTTATTTTGAGACAAAGTCTCTCTAAACTGCCCAAGTTGGCCTTGAACTTATGATTCTCCTGCCTCAGGCTCCCAAGTGGTGGGATCTTTTAAGAGTTTTAAATCTATGATACTTCAAACCAAATTATTTAACTGAGTTAGCCAGATTATTTGCACATGTATATATGGATAGATGTGTTATGTACATACATATGTATATGTATGTTTTATATGTTATGTTTTACATGGCCATGAACGAGTGTGAGGAGAGGGACAGTTAAAGATTATATGCTCACTAATGCCTACATGAATAACGGGTAACAGCGATTAGCAAATAGTCATGTTCTGTTTACTCATCTATTTTGTTTTTATTTATGTTTAAACAACACTGCAGCAAATACAACACAAAGCTCCTTCACCTTAAGAAAAGCAAACATTTCCATTTCCCCATGCCTTCTGGAAGCTTGCCAGTCTCTCTTCCACACAGTTGCAGCCAATGAGTAAAGAATGATTTTAAGCAGGTATTCTAATATCCACTGAATTCCCATTACTTATTCAAAGGCTTCCCCACTGTGGTTTTGGTCCAAGTAAGCTTGCACAGAAGGAACCCATTTCATTTAAGGATGTCAATTGTCAAAGCAGAAACCCTCAAAGAACTTTCTGCAAAACATGTAAATGAGGACCCAAGTTGCAGACTGCTGGGGAAGAAGACTGGCTTGATGAAGCTAATGCACACTCTGAAATAGTGACTCACAATGGGCTCCTGACAGAATCACCTGAGAAGCCTCTGAGCCCTACCCCAACCCAAGTGAATCTGAAAGGCTGGGGGTGGCGACGGGGACAGGCACTGTACTTTCTTTGAGCCACTCCAGTGATTCTACTGTGCAGCTGAGGTTGGTACCCATGGCTCCCCAATATTTGATATGATTCCCCCAAGGTTTACTAAATACACAGGGTGAGACCAGTACCATTAGCAGACATGCTGGCCTTCCTGGGAGGATGTGGGAGATTATCACAAGTCAGTTGATCCAAGGTCCCAGTTTGCTAGGGACTGAACAGTTTCCAGAACGTGGGACTTTCTGTGCTAGAACATGGACAGCCCCAGGTAATGGGGGATGAAGAGCCACCGGGGGAGCAGCATTCTTCATCTATAGAGAAATGGTCCCAGGAAGGCCTCCTGCAAACCCTCCAGCATCATAGCTTCCTGCCTGGGCTCTGCCAGTGAGGGTGTCCCCACATCAACGACCTCTGACCTGGGAGCAGGCAGTGTTTAGATGGCGCTGCTTTCTCAATGAGAACCCAGAAAATGGGTCTCCAGAGTGGCTAAAGAGCCAGGGGACCCCGGAATGGAGCCCAGCAGCCACTGTTAAGCTCCAGATTCTGGCATCTGGTTAACTCCACCAGCGTGTGTTATTTTCCATTAAATCCTGATTGCTGGGTTGGAGGTATGGGTTAGTGGTAGAGGGCTTACCTGGAGTTCACGAGGTCCTGGGTTCAATTCCCAGCACCACAGGGGGGAAAAAAAAAAAAAACTTGGAAAACCTAGAAAGGCTCAAGGTATTGGCCAGGCAGCACAGTAGAGGGCCAGCTGTCCAGCACTGATCTCTAACAGACCCTTGAGGAGGAAGATGGGCCAAAGGGAGGCAGGAAGGAGGCAAAGGGATGGTCCCTGGTGGAAGGAAGGATGAAAATGTGCCCCAGGAACCCACAAAGTGATGCACTTTCCTCTCCCAGGGAGCCAACCATGGTCCCTCCCTCACGATGTCCTCACAGCAGCTGTAGCAGGCGCCCACCCATGGGGGAGGGGGTTGCTCCACACTCACTCTGAGGCAAGTCCTCAGCTCTGAAGACCTTCAGGCAGAAGTGGGCTCCTCGAAGGGCCACACCAGTCGGCCTGAGCAGATTGCCTTCGATGTCCTCCTTGTCTTCAGAGGGGTCTTTTCTCTCCAGCTATAAAGCAAGCCAAACATGATTCCTCCATGAGCTCTCGGGTGCAGTGTTTGACCTTCCTTTTCTAAGAGCTCAGCCTACCATGTTAAGTGAGGTGTCTCATAAGACAACTTGCTCTGGAACATTTTTCTTTTCTTTTTTTTTTTTTTGGTACCAGGGATGGAACCCAGGAACACTTAACCACAGAGCCACATCCCCCAGCCCTTTTTTATATTTTATTAGAGATGGATCTCGCTGAGTTGCTTAGTGCCTCACTAAGTTGCTGAGACTGCCTTTGAACGCGCGATCCTCCTGCCTCAGCCTCTGGAGCTGCTGGGATTACAGGTGGGCACCACTGCGCCCAGCTGTTTTGCACATTTTTCTGCCACAACACTGCCAGCCTTCTCTTCTCAAATACACAGGGTGCTGACACTTCCCAGCTCTGAATGCTCTTCTCATTTTTTTTTCCAGGAAGCAGGGCTTTTTTCTGCAATATGGAGGAAACATGCTTTGCCCACCTGCCCCAGACATAAATCATTACCACCCAGGAACTGCCCAGGGGTCCTCTTGTGGACCCCTTTCAGGGTTCTAAAGACAAACCAGAACCCAAAAAATTCTTTCTTCCATTAAACACACCCATATCATTATTTACAGAATTCACTTTTACTGGTATCAAAAATTATACTAAAAATTTATCACTAAACTAACTTTATTATATTTTTCCTCTCTTAAATTTTTTTTTGTTAAATATCTTCACTGTCCCGGGTACTCCTGCTTCCTATTTTCTTGGTGTACACTGTGTCCTTATCCTTTATAGGTTTTCTGCACATCTCTTGGCACCTCTAGTGACTCTCTGCTCAGATTCACTCTCCAGTCTAAGCTGCATGCCCAGCTTTCTGGACCTCAGACACCTGAAGCCTGAATTTGCGGTTGCTCCTTTCTCTTCCTGGTTCCTCATGGGGACTGCCACACTTTTCTCCCTCACTTCCTCCTTTGATTTAGAACTTTGCCTATTACCACATCCACATGATAATGATATAATCTGAGGCAACAATATTCAGGTTGCAATATCATGGAGAGAATGATCTCCCTTTGCAAAAAGAAAAATACACACGTGTTTTTGAGAAAGGCAGGTGAGAAGATATTGATAATGGCTCACTCCAAGTGGTAGACTTATGAGTGAGTCCTTTTTATTTATACTTTTCTACATGTTCTACAGTTCTCATAATTATCATGCATTCTTTTAAATCAGGAAAAAAAAATTAAGCTTCAGGATTTTCGTTGGGTGCTTCCACCACCAAGCAATATGTGAAGGGCTGTGAGGAAGACCCAGGGAAAGGTACTCACAGGAGCTTCATCTCCAGGCCCCAGCACACAAAGGCTGGCTTTCAGGTAGCCTCTGGCCCCAGCAGAGAAATCGTCAGGGTCCGAGAGGAGCAGCCACTTCCTGAGATAGGCATGACCTAAAAGAGAATGATCAAGACCGGGAAGACCCAAGACTGCAACTTGGTCCAGAAGCCCAGGATGGATCACATACAGTGCGATAAAGGGCTCAGCCATGGCAGGAAGGGAAAGGAGCAAACCCTAGAATCCCTTGGGCTGAGAAACCAAGAGCTCTAACACCAGGATGACCAAAGATGGCTCTCTATGGCATGCCACAGTCACTCAATAGGGCTGTCTCTTCCTGAAGAGAAGACTTAGCTATTCATAATCATGACATGGTCCACCTGGGTGATGTTGGCAAGTAAATAAATGTCTCAAATTTGTTTTTTTAAGCCTAGAATAATCAACTTTGAGCATCTACGTAGATCAGAAGTATTAACAGAAACCTCTATAAGAGACAAAGTTAAACCATTTTTAACCTCCTCAGAAAGTGACCAAATCAGAGAGAGAAGAATCCCTGGACTTCATCACCCAAATGACCTGCCTCTATCTGAGGTGACCCCGGGCCCCAGGACGTTCCAGGTTTATCATCCCTGAATGGGCCATCTGACACAGGTGGGGGTTGCGTCTTCCTGAGGGCCTGAAGGCTTTGCGAGGAGGATGCAACCCCTGCCTTCTCTTCCAAAAAAGCCTTGCCTCCATTCCAAACCCCCCAGGGAGGGAGAGTGAGCACCCAAGCAAGTGTCCCCAAGCAGCCTCCAGAGTCTCATGCAAGGACACACCAAAGGGGTGAGAACTCACGGGGCTCTCTGTAAATGGTGCCCACGTCCATCTGAAATCAAAGGAAACACAAGTCAAACTCTTGGCACTGAAGTGTTACAGCATGGTGCATTCGATGAAGCCAGTAAAGGGCTTGTTTTAAGAACTTTTAGAGACACAGGAAAGCGTCATGTGACACTCCATGGAATATATTTGTTATAGAGTTAGGTAAAGTATGTTAATGCCCCAAAAAGAAAGAGGAAAGGAAATACCCAAAATGGCACCTCTGCTATCTCTGAGGGGCAGTAGATTTGCATGGGTTTGATTTGTTTCTTTTCTTTCCTATATTTCATAGTGTTCTTTTTAAAAAATCATAGATTATCAGGATGTTGATAGTAGGGGAGGTTGAGGGGCAATGGAAGGGCAAAGAGTACACCTGAACTTTCTGTACATTCCACTTGATTATTTTTAATATTTGTTTTTTAGTTATAGGTGGACACAATATCTTTATTTTATTTTTATGTGGTGCTGAGGATCGAACCCAATACCTCACACATGCTAGGCGAGCACTCTATCTCTGAGCCACAACTCCAGCCTCTCCACTCAATTCTTCTGTGAATAAAACTGCCCTCAAATACGAAGTCTGAGCCAGGCATGGTGGCACATGCTTGTGATCCCAGCAACTTGGGAAGCTGAGGCAGGAGGATTGTAAGATCAAGGCCAGTCTCAGCAACTTAGTGAGGCCCTAAGCAACTTAGTGAGACCCTGTCTCAAAATTTTAAAAGGCTGGGAATGTAGGTCAATAGTAAATTGTCCCTGGGTTAAATTTTCAGTACCCCACCCCCCAAAAAATAAAATAAAAAATATGAAGTCTTTTCTATCACAGATTAATAACTAGAAAAAATATCTTTCTTGACCCATGGATTCTCAGAACAAGAATATAAAGACTCAAGTCTCAAAATAATTAAGATTTCATTTGTTACATAATGACTCAGACTCAAACCCACTCCTTTAAAGAAATGCCTTACCAAGAAATTAGATTCTGTTTTTCTAAAATCTTGTGGCTACTTCCCAGAGGAGGGGAGGGGGTCATTTATTTGGATAGCAGAGGCAGGTTAAAATAAGTCTGCACTCTTTCTTTCCTTTTGATAAATCAAATCCTCAAAGATTCTCAAATAAGAACATCAGTGAGAAATACACTAAACGACGTCGCAGCACCATGCAGATCTGACTCGCTTCGTGCAATTATTTTTTGCAAGCTGTTGAACCATCCTCTAGGAAGCACTGTGCTTCTGGTACTGGGTTCCCAGAGGTGGACTGCTCCCTTCTGGGCTGCCCAGGACAAATAGACAGGCTGGGGCTCCTTCCCCCAGGGCCCTCAGCTGAACCCCATTCCTGATCCACCGTGAAGGTGAGTTCAGGGCGGAGAGTGCCAGGTTGCACAGTCCCAGCATTGGCCAGAATTGGGTGGACGCTGCCTTCTCAGATGTAGAGACAAATAGGAACTAAAGAGAAGAGGCTTAATTCTTCCTACTGGAAATAAGGGAATGTTTTAGCTCTCCTCTTTCTGTCATACATTTTACCTTAGAAAACCAGTAAATGTAAGTACTTTATCTGTTTGAAATGTATCTTTCTAAAAACTAAGCATTTTATAAAATTTATGATATGGAGACTAGACATCTTTCTCAAGGGCATCTTCTCTTTGAAATGTAAACATCAAGGAAGAGGGTCCTCCTACCACCCAGAGGGAAGTGACGGGCCTGACTTGAGTGGGTGCCATGCTCCAGGCTATAAAACTATCTCCTGTCATAAATACAGGAGTTGTAATCCTGTTTCCTCCTCTGGATAAAGTAAATTAGCTGACACTGATGGTCATTATCCACCAAATCTAGGATGAATTCTGTGTGCCCAGCAGTTCTACCCAGTTGTCTTATTTGAGGTGCTCTACCTCCAAGCCACATCCCCAGCACCCCGGCCTGCCTGTTATTATTATTATTATTAGTTTTTTTAAACTTTGAGGCAGAGTCTCACTAAGTTGCCCAGGCTGGCCTCAAACTTGCAGTCCTCCTGCCTCATCTTCCAAGTAACTGAGATTACAGGTGTTCACCACCATGCCTGGCTAGTTATTGTTTTTCTCAAAAGAATGAAAATGTAATGGAAAATATGTAATCCACTGGCTATATGAAAGGATGAGACTCCTTCCTGTCTTGGTAATCTCTCAGCAGATGGCCTGAGATGCTCAGCCCACCCCAGTTAATGCTTATTCAACAATGAAAGTGTCCTACTTCTCTGCTACCTTTGTGGAGAGGTTTTCTGAGTTGGGAAATCTGATGGGTTTCTAAGGGAAGGGGTTGAAATCTTCCCAACATGGACCAAGGCACACAAGGTCTCTGGAGTGCCAACCCCTGCAGGTAACCCACAGCGCCTCCAGGAACACAGGTAAGTGAAAACTGACTAATCGCAAGGAAATGAACAATTACCCGGAACTCCCCAATGAGCGCATCTGTCCGGAGGGAACGGGAGTCTACCACCTAGGAGGAAAGAGCAGTTAAAATCCATACCTATGAGTGAAATTGTGACCCAGACAGGGTTCAACCCAACAGCTCTTCTCTCCCAAATAAAAACAGCCAATAATGAGCACTTACTCTAGTCCAGATTGTTCTAAATGATTCCCAAGAATAGTACTCCCAAGAATAGTACCCTGACTAGGCACTCTTATTATCCCCATTGCACAGTTGAAGGACTAGAGGCACAGAGATGACAGGACTTGTACAGAATCACATAACCGCAAGGGCAGAGATGGGACTCGGGTCCAGATAATCCGGTGCCAAGGCCCGCATTTTAACCACTAGAATATACCACCTTCCAAGTGGGAGAAGACTCAAGAGAAAGAAAATATTGGCCAAAAGCAGGCCCATGGACAAACAAAATAAGATGAAAACCAAGGCGTCCTCTACAACCAGAGGTTTCCCACCTGAGGCCCCTAGGGAAGGCCACAGCTGAGGTGTGTGGGCACTCCCACGCCCAGTAGAGGCTGGCTGCGAATGGTCCACGTTTTCCGGGTGCCAGACTTTATCCCGTATCTCTCTCACACACACATACACACTCACACTCACCAACAATGCTGACACGCATGCACACTGAGATGTGCACGTACACACACGGACAATGCCTCACACAAACACATGTGCACACAGAGCCCCGGGGAGAACGCTTGGGTTGCTGAGACTTACTGTGATAAAGATGGGCTCATCAAACAGCTCCAGGGGAGAGTCAAACACGTTGAAGAAAAGAGTCTGTTGGTCCAGAGAAAAACGGAGACAAATCAGTGCCTATGACCCCACAGGCCAGGCAGGGGGAAGATCAGTACCCAGAGGCCTTCGAGCCTGGGAGTGGAGCCCACATAGGAAATGAGGGCTGAGCTCAACTCCATGCTGAGCTCTGGGAATCTGACAAAACCCCACAGAGGGTGTCATCTCAGGCACAGCCTTACAGGATGACAGGGACATGGAGTAGAGAGATCCTAAGCAGGAATAATAGCTGGAGTTCTTCTCCAATTCCTGAACCAAAGTTAGCACCTCAGGTGAACACTCTGAATAAACTGCTCTGGGCTCCCCGTTTGGAAGACCTTCAAAGGTTCTGGCCCTAACATTGCCCAGTGTCTCCCACCTCGTTGAAGAGAGGGCTGTTTCCCTTGTGGATCCGAGTCCTCTTGGTCTGCCCGGCAGCAGTGACCTTGACCACAGGTCTGATGTTCACTCCCGGCAGCTGGCGCCCCTCGATCACCTGGACTCTGATCTGAAAGTCATCAGGGACCATGAGAAGGAAGAAGGGAGAAAGTGTATGAGGCCACCCACCCTCTGCCCTGAGAGACACAAATCTCAGGGACCAGCCGGCTTCTTGGAAAGACTATTTAAAATGTTTTAGGAAGAGCATTCTAAGAACAAGCATATCTCCTACCAAGGTCCCTTGCATCTATAAAATCCCATAGTTGCAGAAGAGCCGCCACGCTGCCCTGCGTAAACCCCCTGGGATCCCAATGGGAGGGTGGGAGTAGTCCCACTCTCTTCATTCAGCACAAACCCCACCTGAGACCTTATTGACACTGACATTTTAGAAAGATCTGAACAGTCCTTACTGACAATTCCCTCAGAAGTCAAGCTTACGCATTGAAGTGACTCCATAAATAGTCTTTGTTCTTTTTTCTTGTGTGTGTGCATGTGTGTGTGTTTGTCTGTGTGTGTGTGTGTGTGTGTGTGTTCATGAAGATTGAACCCAGGGCCCCACAAATGCAAGGCAAGTGCTCTTCCCCTGAGCTATTGTCCCTAGGTCCCCAGCTCCTGTTCTTTATATTGTTAGATGCAATGCTTTTTTTTACATTCTGAGACATAAATTAAGAATTTTTGCCATTGAACTGTAAGTGAATGAAGAATTCAAGAACATCTGTACTTCCAAACATTAGATCGAATATTTTAAAATATTGTTTTAAAATATTAAAGTAATTTTCATGAAAAAAGAAGGTGTGTATTGGTTCCACTTTCTAATCGACTGTTATTTATTAACTCTTCTTAAAAACCGCATGTCATGGGCTGGGGATGTGGCTCAAGCGGTAGCATGCTTGCCTGGCGTGCGTGCGGCCCGGGTTCGATCCTCAGCACCACATACAAACAAAGATGTTGTGTCTGCCGAAAACTACAAAATAAATATTAAAATTCTCTCTTTAAAAAAAAAAAAAAACCGCATGTCATGGAAGGACAGATTATCATAGCAATAAGAAAGTGGGTGAGTGATTTTAAGGTATTTTCCAAAACCTTGGGCCTGAGCAGAGGCTTGTTCTGAGGCCCCGAGACTTGAACTTCCTGTTCAGCAGCTGCCCAGGACCCAGGGAGAGCAGATTCCCACCAGGAGGCCCTCATGGTCCCAGAAGCAGCTCCCCTGAGGCTGGACACACCAGCCAGGCGCTGCTGATGGGTTAAAGCCATCAGGGTGCCAGAGCGCCCCAATCACCTGGAAGTCCTGCTGCTTATCCGACAGCGGCTTTCTGGATGGGGGTGCACTTCTCTTTCTTTTGCTCCCCGGGTGGTAGGGGGGAGGATGGGAAGGCAGCTTCCTGGGGGTGGTGGGGCCCCCCGGGCCTGGAGTGCCACTCTGATCCAGGAATGGTTCTGCTTCATCTCCTGTGAGCCCCTGGTCCTCCGTGTCCTCCTCTCCTCCTGTGTCTGGGAGGACAGAGCCCCAGTGAGCTCTGGGTCCTCTGGCCCTGCCCTTGGGACCCAGCCCAACAGAGGGAAGACCCAGAGAGCACAGGCACTGAGACCCACCGCCACCTGCCTGTGCCCTCCCTCTCCCATCATAAGCCAGGGTGGATGGGTAGGAAGAAGAGAGGCTGCCAACAGCCGAATCCTGAGGCTGTCAGTTCAGTTAGTCGACAGGAGGAAGAAAGAATGGCCCTGGCCCTCCCCCAGCTCTGCAGAAGAGCCGTCCAGCCGCCTCATCCCACTGCAGCGGGCTGGCATCAGTGTCCGGTGAGACGGTTACAGGTGGTAGGGTCTAGGATGGGGACAGCTCTGGCTGGCATCTCACCCGTGGGGACCAGCCACTTCTTTCCAGAATATCTTGTGTCCATGGTGCTGTCACTGAGCAGGGACCAAGTCTCGGCCCGGCTCTGTCCCCCACCTGGCACATGAGCAGGGCACAGCCCCAGAGGAGGGGCAGGAGGGAGCCGAGTGAGGGAAGACCACCTACTGCACCCCCAACCCCCACCCCGCTTGCCCCCCACCCAGCTCAGGGCAAAGCTCAGTGTCCCTCCTTACCACCTCTGCAGGCAGGACTGACACCCCAACTGGCCCAAACCTAATTCTATCTCACTCACCTCAGGGGGGTCCCAGAGTCTTTGGGGCCCTCCTCCTCCCCCTCCTCTACCATTCAGAACACCCTTCTTCCTCCCCCTGAGCCTCTTCCAGCTCGAGTCCAGCTTGGACTTCTCAACCCAGTCCAGAGTGGTTTCCCATCTTAGCTCGGACAATGCGGGGCCCCAGGAAGATGGCCCTCTCTGCCTCCTTCTCCACAGGGCCCTCCACAGGAGTTGGCTTCCCAGACAGGCTGAAGACCCAGCCAAAGCAGAAACTGCTCCGGTTTCCATGCTGTGCTGCCTCTACCCTTCTTCAAAACAGGAGAAACTCCAGCCTCTTCACCACTGGCAAATGCACATGGCCCGTCTCTGTAGCTTCTGCCCTACGCCAGCAGGCTGACCACACAGAGGCCCTGCCCGCTCCCACACCCGACCCCCCCTGACAAGCCAGGCCCTCTGGCCTGGATCATTACCCGACAAGCCCCCCCAGGTAAGAGAACTGAGGCAGGCCCAGGACTTAGCTAATTCAGCCTGCTCATTCCACAAATGATAATCTGTAGGCCCAGAGAGGGACAGCGACCAGCTCAAAGTCAGTGTCAAAGGCAAGACTGGAACTCATGTCCCCTAATGTTATCCCAGGATTCTTTCAAAGAAAAACTAGCTCTTGGGTCACATGTCATCACTAAAGGCCAATTGGAGCTAGGAGAGGGAAGCACTAGATTCTGGGGAGCAGGTGGGGCCTTAGGTATAACCTGGACAGACCTCACTCAGTCACATACACCTCAGAGCTGTGGACTGCAGAGGGCCCACCATGCACAGCCCCTGCCCTGGGCAGCTGGAGCTGGGAGGGTGTCTTCACACCACCCTCAGTAACACAGAGGAAGTTATGCCTCCTGCCCCATCTCTCTGCACGGCAGAGGCAGCTCTCAGAACTCCCCACCCACCCAAACCCTCTCCTCTCCACGCCTGGGCAGCCCCAATCTGGGGAAGGCAGTGAAGGCTGGGAGGTCTCTCTGCAGCCCCACCACCCCAGGCTTGGGTACCCCTGCTGGCCTTCTTGCCGGGGGCCCTGTCACACAAAGGATGGGCTCCTCACCAGCCACCATGTCCAGGTCAGGCAGTGTCGGGGATGGTTCCAAGGGAACAGGGGGTGGGAACAGGGGCACAGCTCCAGGGAGTGGCGTGTAGGACACCTGCAGGACCAGCGAGGCCTGGAAGAGACGGGGATGGGGCAGCAGGTTAGTACGCTGGCCTCAGACCACTGCCCTCCTGCATCCTTCCTGTTTCCCGCATCCTTCCCCAGGGAACAGGGCGCTGACAAGGATCTAATCTGCAGGGAATGTGAAAAAGCCACCCCCAAGGACCCATGAGCATAGTCAGGTAGTTATGGGCACAGAATCTGGGGTCAGTTTCTAACCATTCGGGAGCTAGGTGAACTTGGACAAGATATGCAATCTCCCTGTGCCTCAGTTGCCTTATCTGTAAGGAGGGGTAGTAATAGCAATAGCAGCTTCTTTATGAGGGTGAATGAGGATTAAATTGTAATCAGGGATCCAACTTCTCTTGCAGGATTTTTCAAGTCTTAGGAAAAACTCCCTTTAACCATTCTGCTCAGCCAAGGACCTGCCCTCCTTCTCCATAGACAGTTCAGCTCTGCTCTACTGTACTCAGCAGGAAGCCAGCATTGAGAGGGTCTTGGGCTGCCACTCACCTTGCTGACTCCCGCCCTCCTAGAGCACACCTGCCCCCACCACATCCTCTGCTGAAAGGAGAGTAACTAGTGGCACCATCCACATCAACAAGGGATGATCATCACCGACAAGCCCCACAGAGGCAAGTGAAAGAGGACCCACCTCAACCCCACCCTGAGTCCCACACTGTTCAAAGGAGTCCCTGAGCCCTTTGGCAGGCACAATCCTAACAGACACTCCAGCCTCACGCCTCCCAGGCCAGCAGGGGCCTGGCTGAGCCTCTCCCATGCCACAGCCCAGTCTCCTGGGGCAGCCATCTGTTTTAATCCAAGTTATAAATACTCTGCTTAAGAAAGTGTGGAAACTAGAGCACTCACCTAGCATATGTGAGGCACTGGGTTTGAGCCTCAGCACCACATAAAAAAATAAATAAATAAAGGTATGGAGTCCATCTAAGACTAGAAAAAAATTAAAAAAAAAAACAATAATAGGGATGGGGTTGTGGCTCAGTGGTAGAGTGCTTGCCTAGCATGTGCAAGGTCCTGGGTTCGATCCTCAGCACCACATAAAAATAAATAAATAAAATCCAAAAACAACCCACAATAATATATTCAACCAACAGACAACAATGAATATTCACGGTGTATGCTTGTAATCCCATCAGCTCAGAAGGCTAAGGCAGCAGGAGGATCTCAAGTTCAAAGCCAGCCTCAGCAACTTAGCAAGGCCCCATCTTGAAATAAAATATAAAAAGAGCTGGGGATGTGGCTCACTGGTTAAGCACCCCTGGGTTCAAATCCCCAGTACAAACAAACAAACAAACTTGGAAAGTATAGAAACCTTAAAGAAGAAAAATAGGCCAGGTATGGTGGCTCACACCTGTAATTACAACTCAGGAGCCTGAGGCAGAAGGATTACAAATTCAAGGCCAGCCTCAGCAACTTAGCAAGACCCTGTGTCAAAATTAAAATTATTAAAGGGCTGGGAAAGCAGCTCAATGGTAAAGTGCCCCTTGGGAAGAAGGAGTTAGGGCAAGGAGGAGGAAGAAGAGGAAAGAGAAGAAGGAGAAGAACAAGAAAACTAATGCATAAGAAAGAAATTGTCCATAATTCCTCCACTTTCACAATTTGACATCTTTCTCTCCAGTCGTTTCAAGCAAATAATGTACAGCTTTTCTTCTGCTTAGCGTTAAACAATAAGTACTTTCATGGGTTTTGGCAAAGTTTTTATAAGTGTTTATTGATGCACGATCTCCCTCCGAGTGGCTCTAGCATAGGACAGTGGACATCTTTTCTGATAATATTAGGAACACCCAGAGTTCCTGAGGCAAAGAGCCCTGAGCTGAAGATCTTGGCTGAAGGGTTTGATGTACGAGGTCTCATGCTTACACCCTCCAGACTGGAGCCTGGGGAAGGGCATCCAGGCAAATTTAAAGCAGGACCGTAGGAAGCAGGGTTCAGAAGACTGAAGGTAGACACCCTAAGCAACTGAGACCCTTTAAATCCCACCATCCGACGCAGGATCATAACCCGCCCTGCAGATTCGTGAGCCACCACCAGGTGTCGCCACCTGAGCGGACAGCACCAGCGCCGTCTGCTTCAGCAACTCCTGAGGAAAAGAACCACCTGGGTCGGGGGAGGGATCGAGGGGAGGGGTCGAGGCACTTCATTTGCAGGTGGAGCTGGAGAATAGCCTGTTAAATGAAGTAAGCCAATCCCAAAAAGCCAAAGGCCAAATGTTTTCTCTGATTAATGGATGCTGATCCAAAATCCCCGCCCCCCCACACACAAGGAAAGACTGGAGGAACTTTGGATTAGGCAGAGGGGAGTGGGGGAGGGGAGGGGCATGGGGTGAGAAAGATGGTGGAATGAGAAGGACATTATTACCCTATGTATGTGTATGATTGCACGAATGGTGTGACTCTGGCGTGTATAACCAGAGAAATGAAAAGTTGTGCTCCATTTGTGTACAGTGAGTGGCAATACATTCTGCTGTCATGTATATCTAATTAGAACAAATTTTTAAAAAGGAGGAGGAGGAGGAGGAGGAGGACCACGACCACGACAACTATGACAAACAACCTGGAGCAAGGGACAGGGTAGAGACACCAGGGGGCCTTGCATCTCTATTTCTAAAACCCTTCTTGGGGTTTCCCCCACTTTATCAAAAGGCTAGTTGGGCTGGAATTGTAGCTCAGTGAGAGAGCACTTGTCTAGCAAGTGTGAGGTACTGGGTTCAATTCTCAGCACAGCACATAAATAATAAATAAAAATAAAGATCCCTCAACAACCAAAAATATTTATTTAAAAAAGGTTAATAGGGATCTTTGGAAAAGTAATTAATTCTGGGGCTAAGGCAGAGGAGGTACAAGATGAGCCTGGATCATCATTTCAGCCAGAAAGCAAGGAAATGCTCAGTGAATAATAGAAACATCTCAAAAGGACACAGAAGACAGGGGCTCCCTGATTGTCCGGCCAAATCTGGGACAATTTAAAACATGAAAATCAATAAGGATAGTAACAATTTAAACCATTGAATAAAACAGAAACACATGGATTCATATTGAAATAAGTAAATAATCAAAGAGGAAAACAGCCTTTCCTTTCAGTAGAATGCCAACTGATTAACAAAAAGGATTAATTTAGAAACATCACCACTTAGGAACCATCAAAACAATAATATACGGGCTGCAGTTATAGCTCAGTGGTAGAGTGCTCGCCTAGCATATATGAGGCACTGAGTTCGATCCTCAGCACCACATAAAAATAAATAAATAAAGGTATTGTGTCCATCTACGGCTAAAAAATAAAATTAAGAAAAAACAATAATATATTCAACCAGCAGACAACAATGGAAATTCATGTCAAAACTGGGAGATCAGGCTGGGGACACAGCTCAGTGGTAGGGCAAGTGTTGGGCATGCATGAGGTTCCAGGTTTGACTCCACAGCACCATAAAAAGTAAAGCAAACTTGCAGGGAAAGGTTGGTGAGGAACAGGATACTTATGACCAGACAAAATACTTCCCCACAAAATCCTTACTCATTAGAAGGTGGGGTGCGTGAATGGGAAACCCAGCAAATGCCAGTTTATACAATCGATCAAGGGGAATGATGCACTAAGAAAACAAATCAAAAATCATATCACCTGATAGAGAACAATGAGAGCAACACAGCATCACTTATGCCACATTCATGCCAAGACGCATAACCTAAATCTAATCACAAGGAAACATCCAACAAACCTAAACCAAGGACATTCTATAACACAAGTGACCTGCATTTCCAAACATTTCAATACTACAAGATGATAAAAGTAAAAAAAAAAAAAAAAAACTGAAGAATTATCTCAGACAGAAAGACCCTAAAGAAACAACAACTTCTGGGTGCTGTGGTGCCTATAATCCCATCAAACCGGGAGGCCAAGGCAGGAGGATTGCAAATTCAAGGCCAGCCTCAGAAACTTAGCCAAGCTCTAAGCAACTTAGGGAGACCTCTCAAAATAAAGAATAAAAAGGGCTGGGGATGTGGCTTAGTGGTTTAGCACCCCTGAGTTCAATCCCTGGTACAAAAAAGAAAAGAAAAAGAACAACATGTGTTGTGACTCTGAACTGGATCCTTTGGCTAGAAGTGATACTGTCAAAAAAGACTGATGAACCTCCAGTGGAGGTCTGTGGATTAGATGAACTGCTGTGTCAATGGCATTTGCTCATTTTGAAGGCTGTGCTATGGTTATGTGGGACAGAGTCCTGAATCAGAGAAATTACACATTAAAGTTCAGGATGCTGGGCCAGGAGGTCGGCAGATTAGTCTCAAACGGATTAGAGCATAACACTTTTTATAATATTCTTGGTTACTCTTCTCTAAATCTTAAATTAACTCAAAATAAGTGTTAAAAAAATCTGTGAATCCTTTCCTTCCATGACTGCAAGAAGCTCACTCAGCAGACAGAGCCCCCTGTCCCACTCAGGCTGGCTCCCTGCTGCAGAAGTAGTTTAAGTCAGAACCAGATGCATTATTTGCAGGCCCCAGTGCAAAACAAAAAGCTGATGTCTCTCATTCAAAAATTATTAGAATCTTAACATGGTAATGGTAGACAACTAAAGCAAATCCAGGGTCCTTCTGAGCACGGGACTCTGTGTGACTACCTACCAGGCCAGTCCTGAGTACAGTGTTTGCTTAGGTCAGTGTGTGTCCATATCAGAAAGACAGGAAATGGGGACCCTGCCTGTCATGTCTGGCCCAACTCGATTAATTCACAAACTCATTCCCTTTGCAAATACATATTGAGAGCACCTGCTGGGGACCAGACCCTGTTGAAGATCCTGGGGATATTCCTGTGAACAAGGTCTCCACCTCATGGATCTGATATCTCAGCAAAGGAGGAAGACAATATATAATAATAAACATAAATTATAGCATCTGTTAGAAAGAAGGGTCAAGAAGGGTCAGGGGAGTAGAGGAGTCTCAGGTTGCAGGGTTAAATCAAGTGGTCTGAGTGACCCCCAGTGAGAGAAGTTAGACAAAAACTTGAAGGGGCCACATCTTGGCTGCCCTTGGGATCCTGACCCTGGAGCCGAATCCTCTGGAAGAATACCCCTCCCCACTGCAACTCCAACAGCCCAAGTCCCAGGCAGCAAGCACCAGCCCAGGGCTCCTTATGACTTGCCTGGGGCTGCACTGTGACTTCGGTGCTATCATAGGTATGGGCTCACCCTGCTTATCTACCGGCTCCATACCACCTGGGGCTTCTGATACACCAGCTCTGCAGAGATGGCACCGCAGGAGGGTTACGGCTCCACCATGGCCTGGTGTCAGCACCTCAGCACAGGGCGCTCAGGGGCAGCCCTCGGCAAGAAGCAGGAAAGGGTGATAGCTCTAGAATCTGAAGGCAGTCCAGGCAGCCCCTCATGGGGTTTCTTGAGCATCAGGTACTTCCACACTAATAGCCCTGCACTGAGCATCTAAAGAACTAGCAACATCCAGGTGGTTCCAGGCATTGGAAGGAGACCTCCAGCCCAGAGCCAGGCCCATCTCTTATATGGCCCATCCAGGAGCCTCAGGAACATCCCAGGCAGCTTCAGAAGGTCTAGAAACCAGGATCTAGAACAGATGCCCCAGCACGGGGTGGACTCCAGGGAAATTAGTTTTCATGCTAGGAGCAGAGATAATTAATACTGGAGGCCTCTGGCTCCACTGAGGATCTCAAGGGAAAGGGATCATGTCTGTAGTCCCACCCAGCATTGGGACCCTTCCTTCTCCAGAGAGTCAGTGCTGGAGGTCTTCTTCCTATGGGCTGTGAGCTCTGTGCTGTCCCAGACCTCATGATCTTGGCCTAGAGCCCTGGGTGGGATGCTCTTCACAGCCCTCCACGTCAATGTACCCACCTGATAACCCAGTTTCTCAGGTCCCTGGCTGGAGGTTATCCTACCTCAAGGCCATTATCAATTATGTGTCCACCAAAATACACTGCTATGAAGTGGGGTAACCCCAGTCATTTTGGGGGGTCCACAGCCAACAATATCAGCAGAACTTTAGAGGTTCCTGAATGGTCCCCAGGCTAAAAGGGCTCAGGAAGCCCAATACAGAAGCAGGGAGCCACCTTGTAGGCTCCTCCTGGGTCCCTGGCCCCCTATAGATTCTGCAGCCAGGCTCAGGATGCAGGTTATCTGACTGCTCAGCCTGCAGCTTGCTGCCTACTCCTGGGCCACAACTCTCCACCCCAAGCTCTTTCAAGACCAGACCCTTACCCCACCCCCACAACGCACAGTCAGGACAGCACAGGCAAGGCCTAGTGTATGCCCAGGACTCCTTCACCTTTCCCTCGGGAAGCCTCCAGAAGCTGGTGGAGGGTAAGGCGGGCCTGCGCTGACAGTGTTGGTTGGCAGAATCTTCAGACCACTTGAAAGAAGCTCAGGGTTTCACTGCAGCATTGTCTGTCCTCATTTTGTGCCTGATCCCAGCATGCAGTGCCCTGGCTTCCCCGAACCACCCCATGTGCTCTTGTCATCCAGGGGGTTTCCCTTTCTGATCTGACTCTGGCTTAAAGGCTGGAACAATGTCAAATTAGTTCTCATCATGTGTCCACACCCTCGTCAGTGAGCTGCTTTTAAAATGCACATACAGGCCATTTCTTACACTCCTATTGGCCTTAAGTTTCCTCAGGACAGGGGCAGTGTTGTCCTCATCAGTCTGGAAGCTGTCTGGATAGCTTTGGACTCTCCAATGCACACAGTCCAGATGCCATATCTGAAGGGCTGGGGAAGGACACTGAGCCATAGGCACAGGGAGACCACAGCCCAGCCTGCGGCAGGACCTCCCCACCTCTCCCCATGCCTCCTCCTCCTCTCAGTCTTTCTAGGGTTTTCTAGCAAATCCGCAGGGCCTCTCTTCACTCCCATCATTCCTTTAGCAGGTTCCTTTGGTCTTTAGAAGCAATTTGAACTACAGCACGCTGTGCTCGGGGGGGGGGGGGGTCCAGCCCAGAAATCCAGCCTCAAGAGTGGCTGGTGGAACCTTCAGCGTCTCATGGCTCTGTCCCCTCCAAGCAATGTTCACAGTTCATAGTTTAAGATGTCTCCCACTGCAACTCCAAAAGCCCAAGTCCCAGGCAGGAAGCACCACCCCAGGGCTCCTCATGACTTGCCTGGGGCTGCACTGTGACTCCGGTGCTATCATAGGTAGCAGAGTCTGGTTCTGGGCCCTGCCACAGTGAGGGCTGCACCCTGGGCAGCAGGCAGGAGGCCCATCTCTCCCCAGCTGGGGGCTCACCTAGCAGGGTCCAGCCCTCCTCCCCGTTCCCCAGCTCCTGGCTCTTCTATGCCCTTCTTGGAGACATGGTTGATGAAGGATTGTCTGCAGACAGGCAGGGTCCCAGGACAGGGGAGAGAAGGCAGCAGTCTCCTAGTCTGAGCATCAAGCCCACAGAGTGTGGGAACAGGAGTTAAGAAGAGAGGTGGATGGTGGCCCACCTGGCTCAGTCCCATAAAAGGGACCAGGTTTGGAAGGTTCTGTCTCAGGGGCTGGAGGAGACTTTGAGTTTGGAGGGAAGCGTGTACAGGAAATGCCAGCGTCACAGATGCATAAAGGGCTGGTGGAGAGAGGCTGGCATCTGAGCAAGGAAGTGAGGAACTCTGGTTGGAGGCCTTAAGGTCGCGTAATGACAAAAGAATGGCCTCACCCTAGGTGCGACGGAAAAGCTCCTCGCAGATTCCCTGACCCCACCAGCCTCTCACCAGCTCCCTTGATCCCTATGCCTTCTCCAGGGCCAGCTGGGGCCCTCTTCAGGATCCCTGAAGGGACAGCTCCATCACCCCTTGGAATCCTCCTTGACTGGAGGCAGTGTCAGGAGACTGGAGAGATCAAGGGAAGCCTAAGAGGAGACTCAGGAAGTGACAGAGATAGACTCGAGAACACGGCACTGAACCAGAATGTCCTATCAACCAGCAAGGTCTGAGACAGGAAGGGATTCTTCTGGGAAGTGGCAGCTCCTCACCAAGGAAGCAGCCTGGCCATCACTGTCCCAAGACCGTGGGAGCAGACTGCAGCATTAAGAAAGTCACAGACCAGGAGTGCAGTGAGCCACTCGAGCCCCTCCCACTCTGGAGGCTTGGAGATGCACCCTTGGATGTCCCATTTGGACATCCATTCTCTGGGTCCCCAGTTGTTCCCTTTCTCCAGATCTCAGCACCCAGTGTGGTTCCATTCAGCTCAGCCCAGACTGTCCTGTCCAGCAAAGGGCTCAATCACACACACACACACACACACACACACAAACGCACAGGAGCACACCCCACCCTATCTGAAAAAAAGTCAAGGCCCACTCAGAACTTCCCAGGTCTCACTGGGAGGAAGCATTTCCAGATCTATAGCTCCTCAGTGCATCCTAGAAGGTAGACTTAGAGGGAAGGTCAGGAATCCTAGTGACCAGGAAGAAAGAACCCTGCAGGGTATATTTAGCTCACTAAAAATAACAGGAGGCCAGAGATGAGGGCTGGGAATTGGCTGCTTGGCACAGGAGTGCTCTGCAAGGCGGGAGGAGGGGCAGGAAAGACAAAGGAAGAAAAGGAAGGGGGTCTGACAGGTCCTGGTGGGCAGGGGAGGGCTGTCTGTCTTCCTTCCTTGTAATCTGTGACCCGGATGACTCAGTTATTCCAAATCTGGGGCTGGGCAATGAGGAAGGCAGTTCTCTCAGGGAGACTCAGAGAGCCATGGCCAAGGCTGACTGGGAACTTGGAACAGAAGGTGGCCCAATGGACAGAACAAGACCCAGAGGCAGGCCAAGTTGGTAGGGGTCAAAGCTGACTTGACCAGGGCCCCTTCCCTCCCATTTCTGTGTCCCTCCTGTCACCCCAAGATCTGGCTTAGTTCCAGAAGCTGGACTTTGATACATCTCTGAAATCAGAAAATCAAAGGTGACAGAGAGAGTAGGAGCCACCAGCCAAGAACTCAGACCAGAACCTGGCCAAATGCAGGGGCCATTCGGTACTTACCCCAGTGGGTTGCTGCTTGGTGTCCAGCAGGGGGGCATTGAAGCTGGCAGACAGGCTGGGAGTGGCAAGGACCTCCCGGAGTGGGACCTTGGCTTCCCCCAGGAACCTAGGAGGATAGAGAAGTCAAATGTAGAAAACTAGCCTGATGTGCCCTGGTTCTTCTCCCACCAGACCCCTCATCAGCACCACCACCACCACATACACAAAGGTGATCTACCTAGACCACCGGTCCCCTGGGAGCCCCTGAGCTTTCCCCCTGCGTCCCCAACCAAGTCACTATCAGGCACCATCCTGGAAGACCAGGTCCCTGGGAAAACACCTGGGCATAAGAGAGGGGTAAGAGGCACACGCCCTTCCCCAAGGTCAACCTTGACCCTTCCTGCCACAGCCCAGAGGCCCAGCCATGTCTCCACTGTCACATGTAAGGACTTTTCCCCACCAATCCTTGACAGCATACCAGGCCGGCATCCCTGGAAGGCAGGGTCAGCTTCTCCACCATCACACCTGCATTGCTCCTGAGCCCCAGCAGCTCCCATCAGCCATGTCTACACAGGCTGTCTACACCAGTTACACCAGGACTCAACAGCAGCAATCATCAGTCAAAACAAAGGAACTTCCCTGTCTTCAGGGACAGGGAGAAAGGACATTCAGGCAGGGGAGACAGCCTCCCTCCCCAGGGAGACCCAGAATGGCCAAAAGCACACACACTTGAGGACACTCATCTCACCAAGGCCGAGGGCACCATACACGATGGGCTCCTGGGAAAGAGTGGGCCACCAGCACAGTGGCCAGAGAAGGGCCCTTTGAAGGGCTCTGAGGAGTAGTGTGTTCCCTGAGCTATGAAACTGCACCATGTACTACGTGCCTCTCTGCAGCAGCAGGAAAACAGTGGGTGAGCGGCTGAGTCCACTAGAACCTGTCACCTAAGGGAGGCACTGGCCCTGCTTGCTTTCCTGGGAATCCGAGCCATCCTGACAGTCCCATCAGGGCATGAAGCTTCATTAGTCCAATGAACAGTCATGGCTCACTTTCCTTCTTCCCCTCCTCCTCCTCCCTCTTCTTCTCCTTCTTCCTTCTCCTTTCCCTCCTTATTCTCACACTTCATCTTCCTCTTCCTCTTCCCCTCCTTCTTCTCTGATGGATGAACCAAACCAAACCTGGTATCCAAGACCATCCTTTTTCTGACCCCTGTAGCCACTAATTTGGATATATGTTTTTATGACACTATAAAATAAAACTGCAATCTTGACCTAATTAGCTGATTTAAGAAAAAAAATAAAACTTGTTATTCACAATGAAATACCACTGTACATCCATTAGAATGGCTATTATTTAGAGAGAAGGCATTGGTCAAGATGCAGACAGCCAGGCGCAGTGGTGCACACCTATAATCCCAGCCCCTCGGAGGCTGAGGCAGGAGGATCATGAGTTCAAAGCCAGCCTCAGCAAAAATGAGGTGCTAAGCAACTCAGTGAGACCCTGTCTCTAAATAAAATACAAAATAGGGCTGGGGGTGTGGCTCAGTGATTGATTGAACTTCCTGAGTTCAATCCCCAGTACCCCATCCCAAAAAAAAAAAAGATGTGGATAAACTGGGCCCCTTGTGCACTGCTGGTGGGGAACAGGAAGAGGTACAGCTGCTGAGGAAAACAGCATGGAGGTGCCTCAGAAGAGGTAAAACAGAGAATTACAGTATTACCCAGCTACCCCAATTCTGGATATATATACTCCAAAAAATTGAAATCACAGACTCGGTCATTTTCATATCAATGTTCATAGCAGTATTATTCACAATAGCCAAAAAGTAGAAGCAATCCAAGTTGGACAGATGGACAGATAAGTAAAATGCAATACGTACTTACAACAGAATATTATTCAATCTTAAAAAGGAAGGAAGTTCTGACATGAGCCACAACAGGGGTTAACCTTGGAGGCACTATGCCAAGTGAAATAAGCCAGACACCAAAAGACAAGTATTGTCCAATTCCACTTATTTGAGGTACCTAGAGTAGTCAAATTCATGGACACAGGAAGTAGAACGGTGTGGTCACCAGGGCTGGGAGACCAGGCAATGGAGAATTATGATTTAATAGGTGTAGACTTTCAGTTTGGAAGATGAAAAAGTTCTAGAGATGAATCAGGTGATGACTGCACAACTTTAATGCCATTGAAATATATATTTTAAAAGGTTCAAATGGTAGGTTTCTAATGTATATTTACCACTCTAAAAATAAAAACTGGTCACTTGTATAAACCTCTGGACAATAAAGTACATCTATTTTCATCCTTCTTGGGGTAGGCCAGCTCTCAGTCACCTTGAAGTGACCTTGCTAGAAAGACAAGAAATGTGGCATATGTTCAAGGTCAATTTTTTCTCATATTTCTTTAAAGAAAGGCTAAATAGAGAAACTTATTAATATTCATTGCAGAGTTCTGAAACTCCTTCATCCCCTCACAATATACATGTCTATCCCAAAGAGCCACCATGAGGTGGACACCTGTCACAGTATGTTGACTGAAGTGTCAAGTGTCCTCAGGATCCAGACAAAGTCAAAAAGATCAGAGAGTAGGTGTAGAGGACCCCTGAGACCATGCAACCTCAGAGATCCGTCACCCTGTCCCTCCTTCCTGGGAAAACTGAAGTGACAGATCAGAATGACTTGTTCAAGCAGAGATGGCACAGCCAGTCCTAGGGCTCTCCAGATTTCCTGAGCAATCCCCACAGCCCTGAGACTTCCAGCATTGGGGACAGGAAGGCCAGGCCAGGAAGCAGGAGTGGTGGGGACAGACAGCAGGCCTGGTCAACTATAGACCTGTACATGGGGCTGGAGCTCCAATTTGGGAGTCGAAACCAGAGGGCCAGCGCAAATCCAGGTCTCCTGTCTCCCTTTGTCGGCAGCCCTGACCTCTCAGCCCAGGCCCAGGAGAATTCCCGGAAGTGGGGTGGGAACAATGGGAGGAAATGCAGAAGGAAGCCTTGGCCCCACCCCTGCCAGCCCAGCACCTCCGAGTTGCCTCAGATCGACTGCTATTTCCTCCCTGATACCTCTTTTTGGGTCATGAAATGCACCTTCCAAGGTCCACCACCACCATAAGCCCTGGGGTCAGTCCCTCCAAGGTGCCAGTTGGCTTCCAGAGCCCCGGCATCCCTAGGAGGAAGGACTGGACAGTGCCAATCCCAAAGCCCAAGAGGCGGGCTGTGGGGACCTGGTTCAGGAAAGTCAGGGAGATGCAGAGCCTCCCACCAGTGGGCCTGGTGCAAGCGTTGCTCAGGAGGAGGCAATGGGGGTGCAGTCAGGGACCCCCTGAGGGAGGCCAGAGGGCCTTGATCAGAGGACACCTTGAAGGCCTCTCCTCATCCATTCATCCATTTCCTGTAGTGGAGACTAAAGCTCCCTGGGTCTTTACTCAGGGAGCTCCAGACCCCGAGGGACCAGACCCACTGCCCCATCTTGAGTTGCCTTCTGCACGTCTGGGATGCTATACACTCAGTTGGCACCAACCAGTAGCATGGCAGGTGTCAAACAGTATTCAATAGGAGCCAACCAGGCAAGGAGGGGCCTAGGACCCCTGTGCAGGACCCTGGCTGTAGGAGCCAACTCTGATGGGTGGCAAGGAAAGCCTTGGGCCCTGACCCTGCCTCTTGCAGCCTACTGGTGGAAAAATGCCACAGGCCCTCAGAGCCTCCCTGGACCTGGTCATGATCTCTCTTGGCTTTGCTGTGTTCCGAAGCCATTGGAATGTGGGAACAGGAAGAGCACGGGGACTCAAAAAAAAAAAAAAAAATCCGCTGCCACCCAAGGAAACAGAATCAGGAATTGGCGTGGAGGAGTAAAGCTGGTTAGTATTGACAGGGCACACATTTTTCCCCCATGAAAAAGAATTAGTTCCATTATTCAGTAGAGCCTCTGCCCTAGCAGAGCAGAGAGAAGAGGGATTGGGTGGTAGCCTCCAAATCCAATACTGAAGCACTGTGTGGGAGGCAGGAATTAAGCTGGTCAGTTAAATTCATTTTGATAAAACATAAAAATTTTTTTTAATTATTTAACATATTGGACCTGGCAGGACATGGTGGTACATGCCTGTAATCCCAATGACTCAGAAGGCTGAGGCAAGAGGATCACAAATTCCAGGCTAACCTCAGCAACTTACCAAGACCCTGTCTCAAAATTAAAATAAATTTAAAAAGGAATAAGGATATACACAGTAACAAGGCACCCCTGGGCTCAATCCCTAGTACAAAAAAGAAAAAAAATGGGCCTTATTACTTCCTTGTGTGTAAAAACAAACACAGGGTAACCCAAATCTCCACCATTCAAAGCAGGTAAAGTAGGAATACATACAAAAAAAATGCCATAAACCTATAAAAATAATGAAGTTCATCATGCACTTTTATAGAAAGTCTTCAAGACACATTGTTAAGTGAAAAGAACAAAGCACAAAAGAATGTCTATAATATGTTACCTATTGCATTAAAATAAGGAAAGTTAGAATCTATATTGAGGATTAAGCAATAAGAACTCTAGAATGATACATAAGAAACGAGTGGGAATGTAAATTAGTTCAGCCACTGTGGAAAACAGTATGGAGTTTCATCAAGAAACTAGAAAGAGATCTACCATACGAACCCGCTCTCCCATTTCTAGGAATATATCCAAAGGGAATGATATCAGCATATCAAAGAGACACTTCAGGCCCAGGGTTGTGGCTGCACCTGCGCATTTAAGGTATACAAGCCTGCCAGTTCTTTGTTGGAGAGATCAGGAGTGCGTGGACATTTTTAAAAGCTTTTTAAAAGCTCATTGGGTGTACTTTTTAGCTGTACATGTTGGTAGGTCTAGTAGTCTAGATTTTGCAGGATTAGCAATTGTTGGAATTTTCAAGGGAGTTTGAAGGTTGGGCCCGAAGAGAGAGGAGAGGTGGAAGAGAAAGGTCCTACATGGAGGGCAGAGGTGGCGTCAAGCAGGTGGCTGAAACTCTGGGAGAAGCCAATAGGTCACACAGAGGCAATTCTGAGGCCAAATGGCTGAGGACCCCTAAAAGAGCAGACAGTCCACTGAAAATGGTCTGAATGCCTGCAAGGGTTGTCAGGCCCCCCCACCCCAA